GGGCTTCGTCATGTGCCCCGCCCCCCTGTACCTCACCCGGGGGAACTGCGATCCCCCGCGATCCCCCCCGAAATGACCTCTGGTTGGCAGCCAGTTAGCTTAAAAAATGCGGGTTTTGCTTGTAGATGCAGAATGCATACACAGAATACACAAATAAATAAACTGGGGGGGGGGACAGTGCAGAGGGAATGTGCGCGACTGCGAAGTCAACCCTTAAGGCTCGACTCTTCAGATTCTCCAGGGCAAGCTATCAGTGCAGAAAGGGCCCCTAGTCTGAGCCTTGAGACAGATTTCCCACATCAGAGGTAACTGGACCAAATACGAACAGAGCTGGAGACAAAATTGTAAAGTTGTACGTAGGACTGTGAAGACCTTACGGCCACGACCCACTGTAACATTAAAGTAATAATACTATATATTTTATTTTAAAAAACTATTTTTGTTCAGTTCTCCAAAGTAGGTGACCTCCCAGGTCTTAACCCTGGACTCCCAAAACACATCTGATCTTACCTTGTAAAGTCCCACAATGATGAGAATAAGCAAGAACAAGCCTCCTACAGCACTTCCTATAATAATAGGGAGATAATCCATCACGTAAATCATATCTACCTTTGTAGTGACCTATGTGGAAAGAGAGAGAAGGGACACAAATCACCAGTCATATCGGGTGCAGTCCGAGATGGACAGCCTGGCTAGATGAATAATTTCTACCGTATTAAAATAGGAAAATATACAAGATGCCAGAGTTAAGTATTTGCAGCATTCACAAATCAGTGTTACATTCAACATCAAAAGACTGATTGCTTCCCTAAAGAGAGGGAAAAGAAGAAAAGAATCAGATCAGCAAAAATACTTCTCTCATACTTTCTCTAGATAGCGACAAACGTACAAAAAAGGCTTATACTGAATGATGTCTTTGGTTGATCTATTCAGCGCTGTCTGCTGTGACTGGTAACGCCTTTCCAGGATCTCACACAAACAAAAATCTCCTGCTATTGCAATGATTTCATTGGAGATACCACAGATAACATCCGGGACCTGCATACAAGGGTATGCTCTATCTCAGAACTACAGCCCCTGACCCTTCAACTGGAAGTGATCCAAGCCAAGAGAGCACTAGTGAGTCCGACTGCTCTATAGATTTCTTATTCAATCTCACCCATTTTCCAATCCACCTAATTTAAATATATATTTAATCTATCCATTAACAGAATATTCCAGACTAGGGGTTGGAGCCAGCCAACTTTTTCATTGTTTTGTTTTGCTAAATTTTGTTCCATTCTTATTACAGCCTCCATTTTACATGGCTTTTGTCCACACAAGTCCCAACATAGCCTTTTTGGTGGTCCTGTCTCCCTTTTTCACCAGCAGACAAAAAAAGGTTGTGATCCCATTGGCGGCTTGGCACGATAAATTGCTGCCTCTAATTCTACCAGTTTAAAGTGTAGTGGGACATATCAGCCACGCAGCGCGCCCTGCTGCGGGTTACCCACGGAGACATCCCATGGTAAAGCATCCACATTATTGTGGCGCCTCAGCCATGGAGCGAACTGAAAAGAAATGCCAAAATCCATGCGCGCATAGGCAATTTTTTTTTTTTAAAGCCTCCCTAGCGGCAGAACGGATCTGCAGGTTCAGACTGCCAAAGCCATTCTGCGCGCGCTCCCCCGTATTCAGACATCTGGCTATGCGCAATGAATGCGCGGGGAAACAAAAACACCACTTCAGAGGTGGTGGCTTTTTATCCCGGCTCCAAGTTGTCCTCTGATGGGGTGAGTATGCCCGGGGAATACCTGACAGATGTGACTGTGTGACCAGGCCCATTTAATCAGTGTGTGAAATGTGCCTCTATCGGGCCAAACTGCCAGTCTGAACGCAACCAAAGATGCTGGATGCAACCCTATATACTCAAACACCAGCATTTCATAAGGCACTCTGCTGCCAATGACTATGGCAGACTGCGTGTGAATGAGCCTGTTTAGCAGGGGAAAGATGCTGCGGAGAAATGGGGGGGGGGGTTTCCCTGCTTTCCCACACTATCAAACCTGAGGCAAATAAACCCATGGGGAAAAAATCAAAATCAACATACTTTCTGCTAAATCATCTTGCAGTAATCATATGCCCCTAACCATTTAAAAGTAACAATGGTGCACAGCACTACGGCAACCTATGTGCAGGGAGGGAAAATGGATATATGTTTTTTAAAAATCCAAAAACCCAGCATCACGCGAACAGAAGGATAATCAACAAGCTCACAGTACATAGATCACAGAGGCTGCTTCACATGCTTCAGAGATCCTTTGGCTCACAAAATACTCTGGTGGGTAGAACGCCGTGAACAAATGTTGCAAACTGCATCGATATACTTGCAGTAAAGGGGAAAAGGGGGTTATTTCAGAAGCATCTGCTTATTCGGCTACCTGAGACTGGGCATATTCATCATACTGATTGAAGTATCTTCTGTTGTCAAACGTGAGCCACGAGGCTGTGCAGAAGCTGGACTGGGAGAATTGCTGGTAAAAAAAAAACAACCACCGCCAACAAGCCTTAGTTCACGAGAATAAAATTCATATGCGGAAAATCACAGCTTCCTTTCCAAGTCAGAGGCATGCTTCTGCGCACTCACTGTTGCAACAGCGGATTTCAAAGTAGGCTGGACATGCACATCAGACTCTTGGAAACTCGCTGATAGTACTCTGTATTCATTGCAATACCATTGCAAGCGTAAACATAACAAAGTACTGGGCCTGCAGGCTTGGAATTTCTTTCCTTTGCGATCTCCATGCTAAATATGTTGCCCTTCCCGCCTTAAATCCTTGCAGGTGAGACCTGGAGGATCCCTGGAATTACACCTGATCTCCAGGCGACAGGGATCCGTTCCCCTGGTGGAAATGGCGGCTTTGGAGAATGGACTCTGTGGCACTATAACACACTGAGGTCCCCTCCTCCCCAAATCCCACCCCCAAATCTCCAGGAATTCCCAAACCCAGAGGTGACAACCCTACTATAAGCCCATGCTCAGTTCTTAGGTTAGATAGGAGCTGGTTTCCCCCCAATGAGTTACCCTTTCCAGATTATTCAGAAAGCTTTACCTCAATTTTGTTCGTGGCATACACTGTTCCAGTAACACGGATTATAGAGGGACTTATCTGCCCAAGGCTACATTGATAGATGTAGTATTTTTCAACAGCGCATCGCTAGAAAGAGAATAGAGGTATTAAGGAAAAGGTATATCCACAACCCAAACCGTCATTTGTAGGACTGACAACCTCCAGGCGGTGGGCGGAGATCTCATCTCCAGGCGATAGAGATACTCAGGGCTTTTTTTGTAGAAAAAGCCCAGCAGGAACTCATTAGCATAATAGGCCACAATCAACTACAGAAACTCATTAGCATATCATGGCACACCCCTGACAGCACACCACATTAGCATACTAGGCCGTACCCCCATGTTACCAGAAGTGTAGCCATCCAGCCACACCCACCTTTTGCTTCTTATTCTGTTTATCTTGTTTATTGTCAAAACCCAGGACCTTTTTTGTAGCAGCAACTCCTTTGCATGTTAAGCCACACACCCCTAATGTAGCCAATCCTAATGAGTTTCTGCTGTTGGGTGTGGCCTATTATACTAATGAGTTCCTGCTGGGAGTAGCCAACTTGGGAGCCAGCCGGAACTCCGTTCCTGTGCGTTCCTGCCCAGAAATAGCCCTGGAGATAGTCCACCTGGAAAAAATCGCTGCTTTGGAGGGTGGACTCTGTGGCATTATACCCCACTGAAGTCCCTTCCCTTCCCAAGCCCCGCCCTCCTCAGGCTCCACCCCAAGAATTTCCAGGTATTTCCCAACCTGGAGCAGGCAACCCTAGCTATTTTCCAAGAATGGCTATTTCTGAGAAATATCCTATTTCTATCCCATTTACAGCAGGCCGTGCTCATTTATTTCCACTTAGTGACTGTACCCACATGAAAAGGAAGGGCGAACTTTGTCACCAGGCTGGCGGAGATTACTTCTTGCTGCTACCCCCAAAGCAAGGCAAGTCAGGAGCAAAAGGAATCAGACGTGGATGTTCTAGTATCAAATAACCCCCAAGGAAGTAGTAATTGATTCCCAATGAAGAAGTGAAGCTGCTCCAGTACTAGAGTTCCAGAGTTAACGGTACGGTTTACTCATAAGTGAAGTTGTTGAGTAGGCACAATGAAAAAAGCTTAGCTTTCAACCACTCTAATAAAAGACAGGCACTGTTCAGCATGAATTGCAGAATGGCCAAAGATTGTTTATCTCAGTGATTTAAACTTCAGCATGAAGGAACCAAAGCACGGTGATCAAGGCATTCCAGCAATCCAGCACACTGGAGCAGCTAGGTTCCCTGATTTAGGATGAGACACGTATTGTTGAAAGAAGAAGGATGTCAGTGCCCAGGGAGGGAGCGTTTTAAGGGATGGAAGCTCATAACAGACAGGCCTGTGTGGGGTCAATGGTCACTTGGCCCCAGAGAAGAGGCTGCTGATCTTTTCCAAAATGACTCTGAGGACTGCCAATTTCTAAAGAAGAAGAAGAAGAGGAAGAAGAGATTGGATTTATACCCCGCCCTTCACTACCCAAAGGTGTCTCAGAGCGGCTTACAAACTCCCTTCCCCTCCCCACAACAGACACCCTGTGAGGTAGGTGGGGCTGAGAGAGCTCTGACAGAAACTGCTCTGTTTTCAAGAACAGCTCTTATCAGAACTACGGCTTGCCCAAGGTCATCCAGCTAGCTGCCAGTGGAGGAGTGGGGAATCAAACCCCGTTCTCCCGGATTAGAGTCCATGCTCTTAACCACGACACCAAACTGGCTCTTTAAACATCTTCAAGAATCCAAGGTTGTCCAATGGGGATTTAATCAAGAGTGCCCCATCTGCCCACTGAACCCACGGCTGCGGCTGCCACCTTCCCTCCCCACTTTCAGCCACATTCTGAAGAAGCCCTATTGGGTAGGCTAATCTTACTGCTCTGTGTTTGAAGACACCTGGAGGAGGAAATGGTTGTCGACTGCGCCAGTTCCCAGGTAGAAGGCATGAGGGTGAGTGAGGCAGGCGAAATGGCAAGAGGCCCTCCCCCTCGACTGGACCTGCCCTGAGGCCACTGCCTCATCGTGTCTCATTACAGAACCATCCCTTGGGGTATGTTACATTTTTTAATTTTCTTGAGACAGTTATCAATTCTCATACTGAGATCATCTACCTCAATTAGCTGAGGATGGTCCTTGCTGGAATTTGTCTCTTCTGCGTTGTCGTCCAGCTGAATAAGTTCACACGTCACAGAGGGTTCCTGGGAAGAGGAGAATCATCTTTGGCCACATGTAAATTGTAGACTATAAGTGTGAGGAGTTGTGCGGGACATCTCATTTCCTCCTCCCTCACGCCTTCCCTTCCTTGAAAGCCCCCCTATCCTCCCCCCTTCTCCTGCTTCCTTCTCTCTATCCCGCCCAGCAGCCAACCTACCTTTTATCTGCCCCCCTCATCTTCAGCTATATCTATTGTTTAATTTGTACCCTGCCTTCATCCACAATGGGGACCCAAAGCCGCTTATATAATTCCCCTGTCCTTCATTTTATCCTCACAACAACCCTGTGAAGTAAGTTAGGCTGAGAATGTGTCGCAGCCCAAGATCACATGGTGAGTTTCAACAGCCGAGTGGTGGTTCAGACTTGGGTCTCCCAGATCCTAATCTGGAACTCTAACCACTACACCACACCGGCTTTTGGGAAGATGCTGCTGTTGAACAGTCACAAGCATACAGTCTTGGGCGAGTCATGAAGGTCACAAGGTCTCAAGTCGCCTTTGTTTTTGGTCTCCTTGCACTTTTTAAAAGAGACCAAAGGAGATGAAAATGGTGAAATAAGAAACCATGCATCAGTAAATGCTAGGGGAGACTCCTGCTTTTTACTGTCAGAAACCAAGGCTTTAAGGCTAGCATCACTGTGTGGTTGCTTAGCAACAAGAACACTCTTTTCTTAAAGCTACAGGCACTTCTGTTATTTTAGGGGGGTTAACCCCTCAATGTATTTTTTTAAAGATCTCAGATTTTTTTAATGCAAAGCTAGGGAGTTGTTGTTTTTTTGTTTGTTTGTAGAAAGATCTGTCTTGTCTGTTTATGGCTCTATGGGGTGGCAACTTTCCACCATGCAGCCAGCTGACACCCAGGTCCCTCCATAAATAATACTTACAGCTTGGACACTATCAACCTCCCATATCAGCCCAGCAGTAAATGTGGTTGGCACTTTCACAAACACTGTCACTGCAGCAGGTTGGAAATCACCCAGGGGCACATTCTTTACCTGGAGGGAGGAGGAGGAAGAGGCTGAAGGGAGGACAGTTCAATGGGGTCCTTCTTCAAGGAATAAAAGGCCAAAGCTGAGCTAAAAGAAGGCTGCTTTCATGTCGGGAAACTTTTGCACTACTCGAGACATTCCTTTTCCAGGACCAGCCGTACGCACAACTGAAACAGGCTCTGCACAGTGCAGTATAGCCCTATATTCCCCATAAAACACAGCAACACTCATTCCCAGGGGCAAGATCCTACAAGCAAAACATGAATCTCTCTCTGTTGCAGAGCAGGAAATAAATCCATCCCATTGGAATTGTTTAGTTACTAAAGACCTGCGTTGTAACCAGGGGTCATTTCCTGCAGGAGCGCACAGGAGCGGAGCTCCGGCAGTAAAGAGCCCAGGGGGCGGGCACATGGAAAAGCCCCGCCCCCTGATCCCAGCAGCCCCGGGCCACGAGGAGCAAAAAGCAGCCAGTTAAGTTGCAGAGCCCTCCCCCCATAGATAGCAGTCCAAAACAGACCAGTGGCACCTTTAAGACCAAGTTTTATTCAGGTACAAGCTCTCCCTCCTCTGCGAGGACAGATCTGCAGGTCCCCCCCGCCCCAATAGCTAGCAATCCAAAACAATCCAGTGGAGCCTGAGCGGTGGGTGTTGCCTTCTGACACACTTCCGGTGATGTCAGGGGGTGTGGCATATGCAAATAAGTTATACTAATGAGCTCCTGCACCTCTTTTTCTACGAAATGACCCCTGGTTGTAACTGTTTAAGTAGTGATTTTGGATCCATACGAAAACTTGCTATTTCTCCCAAGAGGCCCTGTTTCTAAGCTTTTCAGGGGTAGCTGTCTATCTGGCTCCTGCACATGAAACAGAAGCAACAGAGATGGACTTCAGGCAGACCCAGTAAAGCAGTCTCTGTGTTTATGTCCGTAGACATCCGTCCCTCCAATCTGCCTCCAGCCTTCTTAGCTCTCCTGTTCAAAGCCCACGGAACCTATATTAAAGTAACAAAGGCCAACCGGCTCCAGCAGCCAGAGCTGCGTAGGATGGAAGAACTGGACTTTCCAACTCCTAATTGATTAGAAGTGGAACAGAGAAGGCCGAGGCAAGAAAGGTTTCCCAGAGAGAAGGCTGGGACCTAGGTAAGGTGTTTCCTGATCATTTCAGATCCTGAACATTCCAAAGTTCAGATCCTGAACATTCCAAAGTTCAGATCCTGAACATTCCAAAGTTCAGATCCTGAACATTCCAAAGTTCAGATCCTGAACATTCCAAAGTTCAGATCCTGAACATTCCAAAGTTCAGATCCTGAACATTCCAAAGTTCAGATCCTGAACATTCCAAAGTTCAGATCCTGAACATTCCAAACTTTAGATCCTGAACATTCCAAACTTGTTGCTCTGCATGGCCTTGCCGGCGCTCTCTCTCACTCACTCACTTCATAAACGTGCATCACTGTCTTGTTTTCCTGTTCGACAGAACTGAAGTTGATGTACTGAATGGATGTCTCCAAGCTGCATTGGAAAAAGAACAAACACGAAGGTGAGATGGGCAAGACACTGGGGCAGGGTGAGCTCAACCCCATTATTTCGGCGACAATGAATGGAACAACGTGCCCCTGGACATCTTCCAATAACTCCACTGCAGTCACTGTCACCGTAGGACACCCAGCCACTCAGTTCCGGCTAAAAAAAGGTGGGAAATAAAACTTGTTACCAGGGCTATTTTGGGGCAGGAACGCACAGGAACGGAGTCCCGGCTGGCTTCCAAGTTGGCCACGCCCAGCAGGAACTCATTAGCATAATAGGCCATACCCAACAGCAGAAACTCATTAGGATTGGCTACATTAGGGGTGTGTGGCCTAACATGCAAAGGCGTTCCTGCTACAAAAAAAGGCCCCGGGTTTTGACAACAAACAAGGTAAACAGAATAAGAAGCAAAAAGTGGGTGTGGCTGGATGAGCACACTTCTGGTAACATGGGGGTGCGGCCTAATGTGCTAATGAGCTGTGCGGTCAGGGGTGTGACCTAATATGCTAATGAGTACCTGCTGTTGGGTGTGGCCTATTATGCTAATGAGTTCCTGCTGGGCTTTTTCTACAAAAAGAGCCCTGCTTACCAAGGGGAAACGTCTTCTTTGCAAGTACCACATGGGACACCAGTGGCAGGGATTCTGGCATGGGGGAGCTGGATGTCAGGCCAGCTGTCTCCCCAGACCACAGTGACACTAGAACACTCCAGGCACTAATGCCCATCTCCCCATTTCCTTCCCAGTAACATTTCCTGATAACATTCCAAATTCTCGAGCCTCTGCTCCACAGAAATATCACAGGCTGCACCTCTTGCATTTCACGGCCTTTAAACCCAATGCTTTATCATTTTTCCTCTGTATCCATGTGATTACACACACAGATACAATTGAGGATTATACTACATGTCCTCTGACAAAAGGGGGATCTAGCCCATGAGAGTTTATACCATAATAAACTTATTACTCCTTAAATTGACTTGAGTTGGTTTTCTTGCAACAGTGGCTAGCCCTCCGCTGCTTCTGCTAGGACGAGGGGGGGGGAACTATGCAAAGACAAACGGTTGGAAAAACACAGGTCACCTTCCCCTCCCCATTCCTACAACAAATTCACCCAAGTGTTGACCTCTAACTTTCAAGCCTACTTTCACGGCAGTAAGGGCTAGAAACTTAACCTTAAAACATACAATAAAAACTAAGGATTTGGATCCCAAGGACTCCATTCTCTTTTCCTCCAAGAGGCAGAATCTACGGGAGGGAATCAGTGGATCCATGCAGGGCTCTTTTTGTAGAAAAAGCCCAGCAGGAACTCATTAGCATAATAGGCCACACCCAAGAGCAGAAACTCATTAGCATATTAGGCCACACCCCTGACATCACAGCTCATTAGCACATTAGGCTGCACCCCCATGTTGCCAGAAGTGTGGTCATCCAGCCACACCCACCTTTCCCTTCTTATTCTGTTTACCTTGTTTGTTGTCAAAACCCAGGGCTTTTTTTGTAGCAGGAACTCCTTTGCATGTTAGGCCATACACCCCTAATGTAGCCAATACTAATGAGTTTCTGCTGTTGGGTGTGGCCTGTTATGCTGTTGAGTTCCTGCTGGGCGTGGCCAACTTGGGAGCCAGCCAGAACTCCGTTCCTGTGTGTTCCTGCCCAAAAATAGCCCTGCATCTTAGCAGAAGAGAGCCATTGGGTTCAGTCCAAGATGTTCAGGGTGATGGATTCTGCACCCGTTTCCAGATTCTACACTTGTGTGACGCTTACATGGAATTGTACAAAAGGCAGCTATGGTCAAGAACTTCTCTTAGCTATAGAGCAAAGTGGGAGCGTAGGGAGCAAAGGTACCCATTCTCTTACCCCTTGACAATGACATTGATGGGGTACAGGACAGGGATGCTGAGACTGTCTCGGTTGTTAGGAAGGGTCTCATTCTTCTCGTTGTCACTGCAAGACAGACAGCCAAACAGATGTCAGGAATACAAAAAAGATTATTAGAGCCAGGGATCGCCTCATGTTTTTGAGTCCAAGCATAGCCAAGCAATCAAGACCTCGCAAGGAATCCTGCCCCAGCATCCTAGACATCTTAAATAAGTTATGCATATCCTTGACGAGTGTTCAGAAGATGCAGCTAGTGCAGAATGCTGCAGCTAGTTTGCTGGTCAGAGCCAGCTACCAGGAGCATCTGACCCTGACATTACAGCGATTACCCTGGCTACTGATCCACCCCGGAGCCCAATTCAAGGGGCTGGCTTTGACCTTTAAAGCCCAACATGGCTTGCGACGAGGGTCTCTGAAGGACCGTCTTCTCCCATGTGCTCCTGTCTGGGAATCGAGATCGCGGGGAGAGGCCCTCCCGGCCATCCCACCAATCAAAGAAGCTCATTGGGTGTGGGTGCACAAGGAGAGGGCCTTTTCAGTGGCAGCCCCACAATTCTGGAACAAGCTCCTCCCCAGGGAGGTGTGCCTGCCCCCCCCCCACTTTCGATCTTTAGGAAGCGTCTGAAGGCAGTTTTATTTAGGACTGTGTTTGGTTACAGAACCAATGTTGAGTCCCGTGGCACCTTTAAGACCAACAAAAGTTTATTCAAGGTGTAAGCTTTCGTGCGCACGCACATTTCCTCGTGCAGGCACGAAAGCTCATACCTTGGATAAACTTTTGTTGGTCTTAAAGGTGCCACGGGACTCAACATGGGCTCTGCGGCTTCAGACCAACATGGCTGCCCACCAGTGTTCCCTCTAAGCTGAGTTAGTGTGAGCTAGGTCGCAGTTTTTTAGCCCCGGCTCACAGTTTTTTCTCTCAGCTCGGGAAGGATGGCTCCAGAGCAAACTAATTTATGCAGCAGCCAAATCGCTCGCTCACAACTTTAATGCCAGGAGCTCACAAAGTAGACTTTTTGCTCACAAGACTCCACAGCTTAGAGGGAGCATTGCTGCCCACCTCGATCTGTGTCTGGTCATTTTTACTGGCAGGCCTCCTGAGTTGTGATTTTCCATTTTGGTTTTTATGTTTTTCGTGCATTTTATTTTCCGTGTTTTATCGATGCTGTACGCCATCTTGACCTCCATAAGGAAGAAAGGCAGCTAATAAATGTTTTAAATAAGATAAATAAAAATCTGTTTGGTTCCCGCTTGCGGGGAGGGCAGGGTATAAATATAAAATAAATAAAAATAAATTAAAAATAAATAAATTCCCCTGTGCTTTTTTGCTATACTGTTCTGTATGACTTCATCATTCACTCCTCTCTCCTCTTCCGAGTCCTCAGTCCTCAAGGCCCTCTTCTCCGTCAAAACCTTTCTTGAACTTCCTTCACATGATCATACCTGCTCTGCCACTGCCGCCAAATTCCTCATTCCGGCATTTCCCCTCCAGCCCCATGCTCTGCAGAGCCCCTTTGCACAAACCCTCCCAAAGTCACCGGGCAGCACAGACTTACCTGCTGACATAGGCCTCCATCTCTACACTGTCTCCCCAGGAGCTATTTTCAAGAACATCAAACCTGAATTCCATCAAAACCTGGAATGGAGGAGAAGCCAAAACTGAGAAAATTCACAGTGCCCGCCATACTTCTCTCTTTTTTTCTCCAGAGCAGGGGTTATCTCCTGCAGGAGCGCACAAAAGCGGAGCTCCGGCAGTAAAGAGCCCAGGGGGCGGGCACATGCAACAAGCCCCGCCCCCTGCTCCCAGCAGCCCTCAGTCAGAGCAAGAAGCAGCCAGGTAAGTTGCAGAGCCCCCCCCCCCCCGGTCCAAAACAGTCCAGTGGTGCCTTTAAGACCAAGTTTTATTCAGGTACAAGCTCTCCCTCCTCTGCGAGGACAGATCCGCATGTTCTCTCCCCCCCCCCCAATAGCTAGCAATCCAAAACAGTCCAGTGGAGCCTGAGCAGTGGGTGTTGCCTTCTGACACACTTCCGGTGATGTCAGCGGGTGTGGCATATGCAAATAAGTTATGCTAATGAGTTATGCTAATGAGCTCCTGCACCTCTTTTTCTACGAAATGACCCCTGCTCCAGAGTGCACCCACAACTCCGAACAAGGGAGAGATGCATGCCAGGAAATGCAAGGAGAACGAGAGCCTTGCATTCCCTGGTGGTGCCTGTGAGAGGCATTTGTATTTATAGTCCAGAGGACTGATCAAGTCCACATCTGCAGAGTAGCTCTGCCATGACAACGCATCAGGCTGCTCCCACACCCCTTACTGTATCCCTCCACTCTTATGATACATGTTAAAGGCGATCCACAGGAATTCTTTAACAGCTGTTTCTTAAAAGCACAAAATCATGATCATCCTCCACGATGCACTTGCTTTTGTATGCACTGACCCCACTCTACAGAAGCCAGTGTTCTTGCCTCTCTACGCGTCTGGTGTACTTTGTACTTTCATTCTTCCCTTGGGACTCCCCCCTCCTTACAGCAATTGGCCAGTGCCTGCCAGTGCATCGCTGGCATCGCTTTCTATTCCCCAAAGTTCTCCCCTTTCCTCCTGCTGTTCCTATAGGCCCCCAAGCCCAGCCCAGGATTCTTCTGTCTTCATTTGGTTCTGCATGGCAGTTATGGAATAACTCTAGACAGGGACAAACTGGCCGTTTGACATACAGGGAAAGTTCTGGGTGGTGGGCTGCTGGTGGCTAGCAGCAAGCAGAGCCAAGCTTCACCCAAGCTGCAAGGGCCACTCAGCCTGGCTAGCTCTTGGGTGCTTTTCACTCTGCCCCTGTGGCTCCAAGACACATCTCCAGTCAACACAGAGAGGTCTTTGCACAGGCCTCGGTCTTGGAGCATCTTTTCCTCCCAAAATGAGGCCAATTCTGTAGTCTCCAGAGGGTGCCAGCATAAAAAATGGATATAGGCAGGGCTATTTTTGGGCACGCATGTGCACAGGAACGAAGTTTTGGCTGGCTCCTGAGTTGGCCACGCCCAGTAGGAACTCATTAGCATAATAGGCCACACCCAACAGCAGAAACTCATTCGGATTGGCTACATTAGGGGTGTGTGGCCTAACATGCAAAGGAGTTCCTGCTACAAAAAAAGGCCCTGGGTTTTGACAACGAACAAGGTAAACAGAATAACAAGCAAAAGGTGGGTGTGGCTGGATGACCACACTTCTGGTAACACAGGGGTGTGGCCTCATATGCTAATGACCTGTGCTTTCAGGGGTGTGGCCTAATATGCTAATACGTTTCTGCTGTTGGGTGTGGCCAATTATGGTAATGAGTTCCTGCTGGGCTTTTTCTACCAAAAAAGCCCTGGATACAGGTGCTTTCTCTAGAACTGAAGTAACCGCCTAGCTCGAGTTAAGTACCATGCAGGATATTGTGAGATCGCCACAGCTGCCCTGGCATGACTGCATACTCACATGTGTTTGCTCCCTATAGACAGGATGGCTGACATTGCAAACAAGACTCTTGAATCCTTCCGCTACTGGCATCCCACCACAGCTCATGATGTGAGCACTTTTCTGTGGAAAAAAACAAGGGGTGTCGTCGTGAGCCACAGAGAAACCGGCCCCGGTTGCAAATTTTCTCTTGCATGACTGCAATGCGACCTAAACCTTCAGCGATTATGAACCTCTCGAGTGAGCAGATCCCTTCTGTCCACTTCCCAAACTGCATCTGGTCTTGGTCGAGGCTTGGAAGGCGAAATAGCTTCTCGGCTACGAAAGAATCCCTGCAATGAATGTTCCAGCCAGGCGGTGGCAGTGTGGCGATTGACATATGGGTCCTGAAGCCTGGCCAACACGCAGCCGTGCAGAAAACGACGGAGCCAAGCCAGAAGACGTCTATACCGGGCAGTGACAGCGCGTGCAATTAAAAATGAATATATGTTGTCTTCCCTATCCCCTACAAACATTGTTAGTCCCTTGTCTATATTGAGTAACTGTACATCGCTTTGAGCCCACTGGGGAAAGCAATTAATAAATGGAAAGTATTATTATTATTATTATCTCAAGGCCAAACCAGACATTACATTTTTTGCTGAGCTAGACCTGGGTTCTCCCGACCCAAGTCACTTTCCCTTGCAGCCACGTAGCAGTTCCAAGGGATGTCACGTTAAAAATCAAAGAGAGTTCTTTGGGGCATGGGACCGGGGGGGAGCCCCTCCTGACCAATGCTCCCTCTAAGCTGTGGAGTCTTGTAAGCAAAAAAATCATACCTTGTGAGCTACTGGCATTAAAGCTGTGACCAAGCGATTTGGCTACTGCGTAAAATAGTTTGCCTTTGAGCCATCCTTCCGGAGCTAAGACAAAAATGTGTGAGCTGGAGGCTAAAAAACAGTGAGCAAGCTCACACTAACTCAGCTTAGAGGGAACACTGCTCCGGCCCCACACCACAGTTCCAAGCAGGAGCCCCTCCTTCCCCCTGCCGGAGCTCCAAGCTGAAAAGGGCTCCCTGCGATCTTTAAAATGACATGCCTTGCAACTGTTGTGTAGTTGCAAGTTGGGTTGGAGAAACCAAGAACCAACTTGCTAAAAAATGTACGTCTCTCTCTCTCTCTCTCTCCCCCCCTCTCCCCCCTTCCTGGTGGGAGAAAAGGACCCTGTGATGTATCAAGTCCTGACAAGTCCAGACATGTCCAGACAAGTCCAGAGACAAACGTCAAGCTTTGCTCCAAGAGACAATGGAATATGCGGATCCTAGCCCGCTCCAATCAGGGGGCTAGGTTCCTGGCCGAGAGCCAATGGGACTCTCGGCCGCTGTAAATAACCTATTGGGAAGTGGGGGGGTGTTTTGGGTGGCGGTTTCTCCGGGAATATAAGCCGGCCTGCGAGCCGGCCAAAGTCGTCTTGTTCCGGATAGAATAAAGTACGCTTTGCTGAAATCACTCTCCGTTTGCGTACTTTTCAGACCTTATCTGCACCACCCCACCTGGGAAGATCACAACATGCTGGGGGAGAGATGGGTTGTTTATGATGGCGAAGACCTTTTACAGGTGGAGCACCTACCCCCAACACAGAAGCTCTGCGGAAGGAGAGGCCAGGAACGTGGAGCAAGTGGAGGACTGTACGGTAAGCATCCTCTTGGAGATTCTCCAGTTCCAAGACCACCCTCAGGACAAACGCCGGAGACAGAAGCAGCTTCTCAGACCTGTTCGAAAAGACGTTTTAGGGGAACAAATACATTAGCCACTCTCCATTCCTCGTTTGGGTTGCAGTTTCGTGGAAAACACTAAAGAGATGGCCGCCCCATGAGGAAGTTGCTAGGTAGCCTTGGGATGTAGCTATATTAAAAATTTGCCTTAATACTTATTTCCTGTCCCCAGGGCACCTTGGAAACTATAGGGTGATTTCCCCCAAGCGCTGCTCTGCGCTCACTCCTCCCTATTGCCCCGATGGTACGTGTCAATTTCACACAAGCTGCTGCGTGGCCGTGTCTACTCAATCCTCAAAAAACAGGATTGAGTAGACGTGGGGGAAATCACGCGAAGCTGCGGGGCAAAATGCGGCTGCGCAGCAGCTTCTGTGAAATTGACCCGTACCATCGGGGCAAAGAGAAGAGTGAGTGCGGAGCAGCGCTTGTGGGAAATCACCCTATAGTCTTGTGGTAGGGAGAAGGCGGCGATGGAGTGCTAAAAGATCATTCTCAGCACCCTCACAGATACTTTGGAGGAAGCCATGATGCAACCGATACAGGTTTTATATTATTCATTGCTGCAAATTTTTTAATATGATGCCACAGGAGACAGTGGTGGTGCAGAATAAACAAAAGTTTATGGAATGCTGTGTGACTGACCACAACATGAACTCAAAATGTTGAAATCCACTGCCACAGATTTTCCATGTGCTGCTGGTGTTTCCTAAAGCGGGCTCCCCACCATGTACTTGCAGTTGCTTACAGTTTTGTAGTGTGAACAAGACTTTAGAGAAGCCAATATTCTCTCAGCCTCAGCCCCCGCCCACAATGTGAGAATAATAATGCAACAGACAGCTTGAAATGGGTATTGAACTGTGGTATTGAACAAGTGGGTACTGAACAAATGAATTATTATTTGCTGCCATCGGAGGGGTTTTACATACCCTGAAGCATGGAAGCGGAGTCTCAGGTCAGCCTCACACACTGCATCTTCCCCGCAGTTCTTCTCAAAAGGAATCTGGCATTTACCAAGAGCACGAGAGTAGTTAGTGTATTAGATCTGTCCCATATATTGCCTCTTCGTGCCAGACATCTAGATTCACCAGGAGCTTTTTGCTCTAGCCCATCCATTCCCCTCCAGAAAGCCCTGTTTCCTACAGATCAATATCAATAATAGTCTACTTTCTTAAAAACTGGAAAGATAAATACCACCGTCATGCATTTTCCAACACAGAAAGCTTTAGTCTCAGCTTGGTCATTCCATATTTCTGTCTTATAGAATCACAGAACCGCAGAGTCGGAAGGGGCCATACAGGCCATCTAATCCAGCCCCCTGCTCAGTGCAGGATCAGCCTAGACTAGAGCCTCCCTGACAAGTGTTTGTCCAGCCGCTGCTTCAAGAATGCCAGTGAGGGGGAGCTCACCACCTCCCGAGGGCAGCTGATTCCCTTAATACCCCTCTGCCCAGATCCACTAAACCCTATGTAGAAATTCTGCGATCAAGAAGACCCTCAGCCTATTCTCCTCTGCTAGATCCACTTTGTTTCCCAAGACTCCAGGGGTCCGGACTCCCACGTCTTACCTCCACTGTAGTTCTGTTGCTTAGTGGGTTCAGAATAGGGCTAAGACCTCCCTTGTTAGGGTCCTTGTCATCGTTGAGGGAGAAATTCACAAAGACCTTGATACTTGAGATGTAATCCTCAATGCAGTTCTGAAAGGCAACGGAAAGGGTTGCCGGACAACACCACAGAGCCCTCAGAGATATAAATCCGTTCTTGTCGGTAGAGGGATCTGGGCCTACGCAGCCAGCTTCGTCTCAGGGGCTGCAGCGACTCCTGTAGGGAAGGAGTGTAACCGCTACTTACTGGGATGCGAATCTTCTCTTGAAGGCACACCGATCCCACGGATATGCTCCGGGCCCCCTCCAGGACCTTCTTGCCATTCCTGAACACTCCTCGGTTCTTCATCCGGTTTCCGTCAATCTCCAAGTAGAAGGAAAGGTTGGCAGAGAGGTGCCCTGGAAGAAGAAAAAGACTGCTTCCTATCAGGTGGACAGAATATCAGCAGTGTAGGGACAGAGTGGGGAATTTCACATTACCCAGTTTCACCCGGTTTCAAGCCGGTAATGATCCGTTTTGAAGTGAACTGGTATAGGGCTGCCATTTCACACATGGCTTTCCCCTTCCGGTAAAGAGCTGGATCTGAAGCGGTTTGCCATTTCAGACTGCACCGCTTTTTCCCGCTTTCCCCCCACTGTTTTTCGCCCGTGTGGGCGATCTCCGGCTTTTCCGCTTCCCCCCCGCCATTTTTTGCCAGTGCGGGCGAACACCGGCTTTTTAAAAAAACGTTTGCTTTATAGTGCTATAGCGCTATAGCACTAAACAAAACACTCCAGGCATTCCAATGGGGTTGATATAATGCTGTTTCATTATAGCGTTATAGCACTATAGCGCTATAACGCTATAAAGCAAACGTTCAAAAAAAAAGCCGGAGATCGCTCACGCAGGCGAAAAACAGCGGGGGAAAAGCGCATCGGAACTGGGAGAGGAAACTGAGGAGTACTTGGAAGCAGTTGACAGGTAAAACGCTTCAGCCCTGTTTCCTAAATGGGACAGAAGCGATTGTGTATGAAATGACAAAAATATTCTGGAAGGGAACTGGTTCTCAAACTGTTCTGTCTGAAATGACAGACCAGAAACCGTTTGGGAACCGTTCCTCTTCCGGAATATATCCTCAGTGTGTTGACATCATAGAATCCTAGTGTTGGAGAGGACCTTCAGGGTCATCTAGTCCAACCCCCCGCACAATGCAGGAAATGCACAAATACCCCCCGCACAACCCCCGGGACCCCTGCTCCATGCCTAGAAGATGACAAACAACCTCTAGAATCCCCGTCCAAACTGGCCTGGAGGAAAACGGCTTCCTGACCCCAGAGTGGCGATCAGCATTTCCCTGGGCGTGTAAAAGAGGGCCACAAGGACTAAGCCTTTGTGCAGCTCTTCCTGCCCTCCCTCTCGTGATCTGCCTCAGTTCACAGAATCAGCGTGGCTGTCAGGTGGCCACCACGTCCCCACCCATTCTGTAGCTGCTCGCTGCCCCCTGAATATACAGCTCTGGATGCTGAATCTGCCCCTGGACTGCAGGGATTAGGGACAGCTGTACGTGAGTCTCTGGCACGCCTTACCTTGGTAGTGCTTGGTGGCTAAACTGGCATTGAAGCAGATGTCGAGGTTGACCTCCACAGCCTGCCAGGACCCGGCACTCCCCTGACATTCCACGTCTTTCACCGGGATTTCCTGCGGCCAGAACTGCACAGTCGCTGCCACGGTCACAATGGGCCTGGAGCTGCAGAGACACGGAGGAGAACAGGTACTACCTGCCGGTCCCCCCTGCTGCAGACAAGAGCTCTCTGGCTCCAGTGGGTAATGTGGTCATACCAAAAGAGTTGCCGGTAATTCAAATCTGCCTGGAAGTCTCCTCCGGAATCCCTGCCTGCTAATCATAGATATCTGAGGGCTGCCCTGGGTGGCCCCCAGGCAAGCCCGATCTCATCAGATCTCAAAAGCTCAGCAGGGCCGACCCTGGAAAGTACTTGGAAGGGAGACCTCCAGGGAATACACGGGGGCAGGTAATATCGAAGCCTCCGAAACGTCCAAGCCCCACTAGGGGTCGCCACTCGCCAGTAGTCACCATGACTTCCAGGCTTGCAAGCACGCACACACAATTACTCACACACACACACAAAAAAACACCATCTGAGGACTAAAAGGTAAAGGTAAAGGTTCCCTGGCTTGAAAGCCAGTCGAGTCCGACTCTAGGGTTGCGGTGCTCATCTCCGTTTCAAAGCCGAAGAGCCAGCACTGTCTGAAGACATTTCCGTGGTCATGTGGCCGGCATGCCTGAACACCAAGGCGCACGAAACGCTGTTACCTTCCCACCGAAATGGTACCTATTTATCTCCTTGCGATTTCTTGCTTTCGAACTGCTAGGTTGGCAGGAGCTGGGACTAGAGACGGGAGCTCACTCCGTCATGCGGCACACTCGGGTCTCGAACTGCTGAACTACCGACCTTCCACAGCCTGCAGTTCAGCGTCTTAACCACTTGAGCCACCGCAGTCTGAGGACTAGCTGTGGTTAATTCCACAGAAAGCTGCTCTTAACAAACTCTTTGCAACACATCCTCTCCCCCCAACCTCCTTTCTGTTGTTTGCAGCTTTTAGTTTAAATTTAACTGCCTAATGGATGTATGCCCTGACCTGCATGGCCCAGGCTAGCCCGATCTTGCTAGATCCCGGAAGCGAAGCAGGGTCGGCCTTGGTTTAATACTTGGATGGGAGACCTCCAGGGAATACCAGGATCGCGACATTGAGGCAGACAATGGAAAACCATTTCTGATGGTCTCTTGCCTGGGAAACCCTACAGGGTCGCCGTAAGTCATCTGTGACTTGATGGCACTTTCCACCCCCAATGGACATACACTTCCATCCATCTGATGAAGGGAGCTCTGACCAGTGTTCCCTCTAAGCCAGTGGTGGTGAACCTATGGCACGGGTGCCAGAGGTGGCACTCAGAGCCCTCTCTGTGGGCACGCACGCCATCGCTCCAGCCAGGCCCAGACCATCATTAAAGTGTCAAATTCTCTGCCAAATAATTTTACGTAAATGAAAGCATTTGGGATCGCTTTCCTTACTTTGTGCAGATCATCTTAAGTTAATGTATGAGTTGTTTTTTCTAAAGTAAAACCTCAGTATTCAGGTTCGATTGCCGTGTTGGCACTTTGCGATAAATAATTGGGGTTTGGGCACTCGGTCTCTAAAAGGCTCGCCATCACTGCTCTACGCTGAGTTAGAGTGAGCTAGCTCACAGTTTTTTAGCCTCTGGCTCACACATTTTTGTATTGGCTCAGGAAGGATGGCTTCAGAGCAAACTAGTTTATCCAGCAGCCAAATCGCTCGCTCACAACTTTAATGCCAGTAACTCACGAAGTAGAATTTTTGCTCACAAGACTCCACAGCTTAGAGGGAACATTGGCTCTGACTCGTGAAACCCGTATGCTGGAATTAATTTTATGAAGTCTTCAAGGTGTCACTGGGCCCCTCCTTCATTTTAATACTACAGACTAAAAAGGCTGCCCATCTGGAATCATGAACATGCTCCAAGGCCCTCCTCTCTTGAAACGTCATTCCAGATGTTGCAGGGTTCTCATTAAGCCCCAGCTACGACCCCCCGTCTTGAGTCACACTTTGGAGGAAGGGCTCTTCTGCCTCCTTGCCCTGCTTGCAGGCTTCCTGGAGGCATCTTGTTGGCCACTGTGGGAAACAGGACTAGGCGGACTCTTGACCGGATTCAGTCGGGTTCTTCATACGCTCACTCACTGACAGAATGCGTAGATCCCATCCTTCGCCTTCCCCCTACCTGAGAACCCAGCTGTCTTAGCATCACATCCCGCTCCCTCAACCAGTTAGATTTTAATTCCCATCCATAACCAGAGTCCAAGAGTTTCTCCACAGGCTCTCTTTTCACAAGGCCCCATTTGCTGGAGTTGTTTCAGGCTCACACATGCACATACTATTTCTAATTGAACAAAAAACCCTTCTCTTAATTTAAAGGTAAAGGTTCCCTTGCTCAAAAGCCAGTCGAATCCGACTCTAGGGTTGCAGCGCTCATCTCCGTTTCAAAGCCGAAGAGCCAGCGCTGTCCGAAGACGTGGTCATGTGGCCGGCATGACTAAGCACCAAGGCGCACGGAACGTCATTACTTTCCCACCGAAGTGGTCCCTATTTATCTCTTTGCAATTTCTTGCTTTCGAACTGCTAGGTTGGCAGGAGCTGGGACTAGAGATGGGAGCTAACTCCGTCATGCAGCACCCTGGGTCTCGAACTGCTGAACTACTGACCTTCCACAGCCTGCAGTTCAGCATCTTAACCACTTGAGCCACCGCAGCTCCTTTTCTCTTAATTTATAGGAGGTAAGAACCCAACACTCACGCCCCAACCTCCAGCACCTCTTTCTCCCCAATCCACCTCTTTCTCCCTAATTCACCATTCTACTGCCAAACTGGGGGGTAGAGTACGAGAACCCCGGAACAGATCCACACACATTCCTATGACCTCGGCGGCCATTTTAAAAGCTCCCCATAGTGTTGCTCCCTAGAGTCACTCACCAGAGTACCACGGCCTTTCCCAGAGCTCCCACAGCAATGTCAGGGAGTCCGTCTTGACTGAGGTCTGTCTTTCCATGGATGGAACGTCCAAAGAATTTCAAGCCAGGGGATACCTGTGCTCCGTTAATTTTCTGGGGAAGGGAAATGGTAACTTAGGACCAGACAGCTACATATCAGTAACAGTACATTGATATGGCAATTACTGATTGGGGGGGAACGACTTATTTGACCACTAACTGCCTAGGGCAGGGGAAATTCAGGGCAAAGAGCCACCAGCTGCTGTTTCGGCAACAACAAAACCACAGGGAAGTGTCCCCTTGTGGAAAGAAGAAGAAGAAGTGAAGAGATCGGATTTAAACCCCGCCCTTCACTTGGGAGTCTCAGAGCGGCTTACAAACTCCTTTCCCTTCCCCTCCCCACAACAGACACCCTGTGAGGCGGGTGGGGCTGAGAGAACTCTGACACAAACTGCTCTTTTTCAAGGACAGCTGTGCCAGAGCTTGTGGCTGACCCAAGGTCACATCAGCAGGTGCAAGTGGAGGAGTGGGGAATCAAACCCGGTTCTCCCAGATTAGAGTCCGCACACTTAACCACTACACGAAACTGGCTCTCCTTTCGTGTCCTTCTTAGCACTCATTTTTACTTCCCTGTGCGGCCCCTGAAAATGATGAACACTCACTCAGGGGTCATTTCGTAGAAAAAGAGCTAGGGGAACTCATTAGCATAACTCATTAGCATATGCCACACCCCCTGACATCAGGGGCCCGGCGGTGGACCTGCAAGGCCAGCGGGAGTGCGAGGAAGCCCCGCGAAGGCCCTCCCTGGCCCCAGGCAGGCAGGGGTGGGGAGAGGCGGGGAGGAAGCAACTTACCCTCCCTCTTCTCCTGCCTCCTCCTGGCTGAATGAGGGCCGGAAGCAGGGGGGGCGGAAGCAGGGGGCGGGGCTTCGTCATGTGCCCCGCCCCCTGTACCTCACCCGGGGGAACTGCGATCCCCCGCGATCCCCCCCGAAATGACCTCTGCACTCACTTCTTTTCCTCTCCCCCACATAAAAATGCAGAACACTCACATCAGTTAAGAGCAAACACATTTTCCCCCGTGTGTAGTGTTTATAAAGTATACAGAATTACTGAGTAACAAGCTGTACACTCTACAGAGGGGAACCCGTGACATCAGGCCTTCTTCTTCTCCCAACTCATCCTGTTCTCCTCCCTCTGGGTCTCGTGACCTGCCTGCAAGGTAGTTGCAACCCACAGTCAGAGGAGGAGAAGGAGAAGGGTTGGATTTATATCCCGCCCTTTAGTCGGAGACTCAGAGCGGCTTACAATCTCCTTCCCTTCCTCTCCCCATAACAGACACCCTGTGAGGTAGGTGGGGCTAAGAGAGCTCTTGAGAGAACAGCTCTGGGAGAACTGTGGCTGGCCCAAGGTCACCCAGCAGCTCCATGTGGAGGAGCGGGGAATCAAACCCAGTTCTCCGGATTACAGCCTGCCTCTCCTAAGCACTACACCAAACTGGCTCTGCTTGATGCCCATTGCCTCCCCAGACATGCCCTGCCAGAAGCCTGGGGCACCAAGATAGGGTACGAGGGTCCTGCTTGACACAGTTTGAAAACGATTGCCTTAGGATTAATCTACTATGAATTTTGATTGATACAATCAGTTCATTAAATTTACATAGAATTGCTTGTGACTAAAACAGTCACCTTGAAGGGGCGGGGGGGGACGGGACCACACTGTTTTTACTGTTAGATGGCCGCAGTAGACTCCATCTTAGAAGAGTCCACCCCTTCCATTCTTTTCTTTTTCAATAAGGAGCATTTTTTTTTAAAAAAGGTGCTGCCTAATTGATTGGCAGCGGCTTTATTTGTCAATCAACAGGTCTTTGAAAGCCGCAGCTAGTACGCTAGTATGATCCAGCAAGGGAATTAGCGTCACAGTTCGTTACCTGGGTATACTCCATATGCACAGTCTTCTCGTGGCCATTGTAGATGTAGACAACTCCACTTTCCCCATCTTCTAAGGGGGCCCCCACAGCCACATCCGTCAGTCCATCCCCATTGATGTCCGCCAAGTCAGCAATAGCCGCTCCAAACCTGCCCAAGGGGTACTCCAAGTCCCCTTGAAGCTCCCCCTGGAGGGCAAGATTATCCTGGAAGGGGAAAGGGTCCTATTTGTAAATTCTGTGATAAAATATTGGGTCGTCCCAACCCATGCTTCCTCTAAGCTGTGGAGTCTTGTGAGCAAAAATTCTACTTTGTGAGCTACCGGCATTAAAGTTGTGAGCGAGCGATTTGGCTACTGTGTAAATTAGTTTGCTCTGGAGCCATCCCTTCCTGAGCTAAGGCAAAAATGTGTGAGCTGGAGGCTAAAAAACTGTGAGCTGGCTCACACTAACTCAGCTTAGAGGGAACACTGGTCCCAACAGGGCACGAAAAAACCCCAACATATGGCACCGCCCCTTCTCTTTGCCCAGTCTCTCCTCACCTGTGCCCAGCCGTAGACATAAACACGACCTCCTCTCCGGCCTTTAAAATATAGCTGTGCCCCGATGAGAAGCAGGTCTGTTTCACCATCGCTGTCCACGTCCACTGGACAAAGGACTGCCCCAAAATAGGACCCTATCTGCAAAGGGAAGATTAAAATGTGTGGGATGAAAAGGGGGCCACTTGCACAGTGGTCCCTCAAGAGGTACATGGTGAGCCTGGATCAGGCATGCGAGGCCACTGGCGTTCCCCCTTTGCACCACACCGGGCATTTGAGTGGCCATAACCCCCCCCCCCAGTAAATTTTGGGTATACTAGAGGACCCCATTCTCCTCACCTGCTCTCCAGGAATCTGCTGCTTTAAGGTCCAGTTGGCAGGGCTGGGGTTGACCTCGAACACCAGGACCCTTCCCACATGTTGGTACCGAGGGGCACCAACAGCATACAGCTCCCTCTTCTGATGCTGCAAGAATTTCAGTGCATAGCCTGGAAAGAACAGACAAATTAATCAAGGTGGAACGAAGAAGCATCTACACAGAAGAAGAAGAAGAAGAGATTGGATTTATACCCCGCCCTTCACTACCCAAAGGTGTCTCAGAGCGGCTTACAAACTCCTTTCCCTTCCCCTCCCCACCACAGACATCCTGTGAGGTAGGTGGGGCTGAGAGAGCTCTGACAGAAACTGCTCTTTTTCAAGAACACCTCTGACAGAACTACGGCTTGCCCAAGGTCATCCAGCAGCTGCGAGTGGAGGAGGGGGGAATCAAACCTGGTTCTTCCAGATTAGAGTCTTAACCACTACATCAAACCACTACACTTAACCACTGTACCAAACCACTACACAGCCAAATCGATTCACCATCCTTTTCTAGCTTTGGAGCAGGGAGGACGAGTAACTTCCTAAGATGGCCCTGGAAGGCCCTCCGTGCTTCTGTTAAACCAGGGTGGTGTGGTGGTTGAGAGTGTTAAGGCTAGGAACTTGGAGATCCAGGTTCAAATTCCCACTCGTGCCACGGAAGCTCACTGGGTGGCCTTGGGCCAGTCACTCTGGAGGAAAGGCAAACAATTACAGGATATTCATTGCCAGGAAACAGTGGCTAAAGCCCGCAGTGTGTGCTCTCTCCTACCATTTAACTGTGTTCCAATGATCCCACATTAACATGGACGTTACCTATCTTATATTAACAATTCCAAGGTATCACCACGCATTTACACTGGCTAGATTTAACATGTTACCATCTGTATGCTTGACAGGAAGATACAAAAACATCCCATCTAATTGTAGGTTTTGTCCTTGCTCTTTTAATCTGATCTGTTAATCTACAGCATTTACCACTGTAGATTTTACATACAGGCACGCCTGGATTTATCGAAACCAGGGCTGGTTGACAAAAAAAACTGCTCTCTGAGGCGGAGGACTCTGCAACTGTTATTGGTGAAGGCTCTCCAAAGAACTATTGTTACCTGTGGCTCAATTTCTGTTCCCTGCAATTAAAATACGGGTAGAGTCAACGTCCTGTGTATAATCTACTCAGATGCTAACCATTAATTAATTAAAATACGTGTAGAGTCAACGTCCTCTGTATAATCTACTCAGATGCTAACCATTAATGTTAGATATTTTAGGATGAGAGATTTCACTCGGATTATTAATACTGTAATAGTGTTTTTCTTCCTCTGAATGGTCTGCAGGCTGTAATAAAGACAGACCGATGGACAATGATGATTGCCCAGGATCACGCCATAGACCTGACAGGGAGCGTCCAAAGTGTGAAGAAACTTCAGGGTGCAAAGAGGAAACCTTCTCTACATACCCAAGTAGGCTGCTTTCATTTCACCCTTAGCAGTGGGGGCGGTGATGAACTTTTCATTGGCCAAACCCTCCTGCTGCTCTAACAGGCCGCCGGCCCAATTGTTGGCACCCACGGCACCCAGGACCACCCGGCCCTAGAGTGAGGAGAGGAAGGAAGAGAAGGTTTAGCACTCGTGGGGCCACCCACACCAGAGACCCCTCCTCATTCCACACCGTGGCCTTGGTTCACCCTCACGTGGGATATGTCGGCACTGAATCCACTCGATGACATCTCCAGGTAGAAGGAGCGACTGTCACTGGTGCCTGCAATGAAGACAGGAGGGGAAAGGTTATCTTTGTAATAAACCGATGCTCCTCCCGTCTCAGAAGCCCAGATGCAACCGTGGGAGGGGTGGAAACGGGGGCTGGGCTTGCAAAGAAACTAGATTTGGGAAGCACGATGGGACACCTTTAACGTCCCCTCCCACTCCCAACCCACCAAGCGATATGTCATCCTGACATGACACCTTCGATATCGTAGATCTTTGCCTGGAGCTCGTTGAAGCTGTCCTTGAGCTCCTCGAACCTCTTGAGGACCTTCACGAAGGCACTGATGGGTTCCGAGGCGATCTTCGTGACCTTGGCTTGGGTCACGTTCTTGGGGAAGTGGCGTCCAATCTGGGGAGGCGATGAAAGACCAAGTGAGACACAGGCAGATTTTGAGCAGTGGTAAGAGAAGTGGTAAAAGGAGCTGCGGTGGCTCAAGTGGTTAAAACGCTGAACTGCAGGCTGTGGAAGATCAGTAGTTCAGCAGTTCGAGATCCGAGTGTGCTGCATGACGGAGTGAGCTCCCGTCTCTAGTTCCAGCTCCTGCCAACCTAGCAGTTCGAAAGCAAGAGATTGCAAGGAGATAAATAGGGACCACTTCGGTGGGAAGATAACAGCGTTCCGTGAGCCTTGGTGTTTAGTCATGCTGGCCACATGACCATGGAAACGTCTTCGGACAGTGCTGGCTCTTCGGCTTTGAAACGGAGAGGAGCACCGCAACCCTAGAGTCGGACTCGACTGGCTTTCGAGCAAGGGAACCTTTACCTTTTAAGAGAAGGGGGATGCTGGGCAGGTGAATCGGGGAGCAAATCATGAGTGAGTGAGAGAGAGAGAGAGAACACAACCCTCTGTGACATGCTCTCCGATTCTATGAACTACTGGTTTTTAAGCCCTAGGCAGACCTTACTTTGAATGCCTGGTGGGGAGTCACTCCAGCCTCCATATGTTTGGCTTAAAACGCTGATCGTCGTGAGTGTGCAAGGCTTCCTCCGTGTAACCAGGAACCCTGGCGGAGCAGAGCTCCTCATTGCACAGGGAGAGCCTCATGATGGTGGTTGGGGCAGAGAGTGGGATCAAGCTGCAGCTGGACTTATGGCGACCCCACAGGGTTTTTCCAAGGCAAGAGACGTTACGGAGGTGGTCTTGCCCTTGCCTGCCTCTGCGTCGCGACCCTGGACTTCCTTGGCGGTCTCCCATCCAAGCACTAACCAGGGCCGACCCTGCTTAGCTTCCGAGATCTGACAAGATCAGTCTAGCCTGGGCCGTCCAGGTCAGGACAGGGTCCCCATGCAAAACAATAACAAATGGTGTAGGGTTCAGGCAGCATTACTAAGTGAACATGTGGATTTGAGGAGTAGGGGAAGCGGTTTAGGTTTAGTTAGGTTTAGTTACCTTCAGATAAGAGGCCACAGGAGACTTGGGTCCCTGCCACACGGGGGGAAAAAGTCGGGCAAAAGTGCGGCTTTTAAAAGCCGCACCAAGATAGGCACGCGGTGGCGGGATCATACGGATCCCGTGAACCGCGGCGCAATTGCTCCCCGGCACGATCAGATGCCGGGGAGACCAGAGAGACAGCGGCGGGAGGCTGCTGAACTGCGCATGTCTGAGCATGCGCAGTTCGGCCAGGAGTCGGGGATGCGCCGGCGAAAGGACGCGCTGGCGATCCCATGGCCAGCCTTGATGCGACCTTGGTAGGTGGTTTATTTTTGCTGCGTGTTTTGGGCGGAAGGGCCGGATCGGGGACGGCGCGCAACGCTTCCCAGATGTTGCGGTGGGATCGCACCCGTTTGCTGCGCCCCCGATCCGTCCCTCTCCCGGCCCAAAACCTCTCGTGTGACCGGGGCCTGGACAGTGGTCTGTTTCAGTGACTCCAGCAAAGCACAATCAGGCTAAAGGGACTCCTACAGCAGGCAGCACAACTGCTAGTCCTCCAACAGCTTCCCGGAAAACAGATTCCTTACAGTCTCCAGCCTACCAAAACTCACAGTTCTCTGAACTACAGAGTATGCAGAAGGCCCATGACTTATCTTCGAAACATTTTATTTAAGTAAAATTTTATTTTAAACAACTCATTTGGAGATGGAGAAAGGAGAAGCAAGAAGCAAGTTTTTTTTTTCCCTCTAAAGTTTAGGGCAGGGGTGTCAAACATGCGGCCTGGGGGCCAGATCAGGCCCCCAGAGGGCTTCTATCAGGCCCACAAGGGACTGGCTGTCTCCTGCTTCTTCCTCCAGTTCTGCTGCTGCGGCTGCGTCATACCTTGCTTTCCCAGACTCCCCCAATCGCTCAGGAGAGATAGGGTCTGCTTCCTGATCTGGACTGAGGTTCCTCCCCCTCCCAGATTGCTACAGCACAGACATTTTGATGCAATAATTCAGAGCAAGAAGTGTCAGTTATCAGAGACTGTTAAATAAACAAAATATTGCAAGAATGCTAACTTTTTGAGCATGTTTTTATTTTAAGTTTTTTAAAAAACCTTTGTGTTTGTGTCTTTTATCAAGTTTATATCTCCACTCCCTGGCATTACATGTTATGACACACATGGCCCGGCCCAACAAAGTCCAATTTATGTCAAATCCGGCCCTCCATAACAAATGAGTTCGACACCCCTGGTTTAGGGTAATTGACAGATTTGTATGAGAAGTTTGATTCTGGGGTAAGCTGCCCCATTATTTATTTATTTGGGATGCTGCCTCTCCAGAGTTCTGTTCTAGGTGGCTTACAATCAGTTAGAAAAGCAGACGTCCATACAATATACAGGGTGGGATCCAGCCAGCGTTTTGTCTGGTGAAAAAGGGAATGGGTGTTCCCTTTGACTACCTGACAAGCGTCTGCTGGAGATCATGGGACCTGCATGGGCATAAGCCATTTGCGACAGGGATTGCAGTAAGGAGAGGAACTGAGCAAGAATGAATGTAAAAAAACTGCAGGATCCCATTAAGTATTTACACAGCATGCAGAGAACTAAGCAATGGCCAAGTGTACTGAAGTACTCAGAACTCTTAGAACGTTTACCCCAATTATGAAACGCAGGATCTTCTTGTCCTTGGCAGCTTTTACACTTCCATTGTCTGAGTCGGTAGCCTCTCCGTCGGTGATAATGACCATTACTCGGTTTGCTCCTGGTCGAGTGCCACGTTCAGGAACAAAAACTTTTTCCCTGTCATCAACAAATAAGGTGCCAATAAATGCTTAATGCTATTCTGCTCACTGGCTAGTTCACACATGCGTGTTACACCACTCGACTATGCAACACAATGGAACAGCGGGACATTGTGTGGAAGCTCTCAAAAAGGCAGGGGCTTGCTGCTCTCCATGGGGGGGGGGAATCCCAGCAGGGAAGAAGCCTGAACTTCAATGCCAAGTGGGGATCTGAATTCCAATCCCCCCAGTCCTAAACCAACATCCTAACCAGTATACTGTCTGTGGTAAGAAATTTTAGAAATATAGAAGGTTTGGGTTTAAAAATGAACCAAATAGTTTATAAAATCCATATATCTGTCTCTATCTTTGCTAGCAAAACAGCAAGGAGGCATGGCCTGCTTCAATGAACCAGACCATGATTCTTTGCCAGCCCTTTTGTTCCAAGCAAATCTCTTTCTTGGTCACACGCAAAAGTCACACATTCCATTCCCAGAATCTGAATCAATGTAAAATTCCACAGGTGTGAGACCCACAATTTCCTAGGCCATAAACTGCAGCTGACAGGAAAGGCCATTTGGGCATTGACAGACTTCAATCCGGAAGGCAAACTAACTCCGGAGATACAGGAGTTCACATACCCCACTTCCACCTCAGAGATAACTTCAAAGTTATCTCTCTGATAGCTTCAAAGAACAGTTTATCCCCAATGGTGGGAACACCAGGAAAACAATAACACTATACTGATCCGGTAAATAAAAGTGTAAACTTTTGTTGTGTGAGACCAAGGAAGCAATTTCCTGTAAAACAATTTCAACTTCTAAATGTTAACTTACAACTGTAATTTGATTATTGAGGGACCTCTTTGATCATTTGGTATAAATACTGGTCAAATCCAACAGACTTTCGTTGGCTCTTGAGGATCAGGAGAGGCTTATTCTCCTGAGAATTTGGAGTCAACTCGAAAGGCCTTTCGTTCTCTGCATGCTTTGGGGTGGGATAGAATTTTGCTTGCATGTTTATTTTTCTGTGTATTTACTATCAATATTTAGGAAATAGGATTCTACTGTGTTGGCAAGCTGGCATAGCGTCTTGCTGGTCACCTTGCCAGGTAAATAGTTGAATGTTTTTCTTTGATAAAGATAAGTTTTATTTTAAGAAGAGACCTTTGAGTGTCTCTGCCAGCGCTTAGCGGTTTTCAAGCTTACACCTCTGCCTTTGGTAAGGAGGCAACACTCAGGGGACACACGAACCAGAGGGGAAGTGTGGGTGGCACGGGTAAAGACGCATTCACAGACATGTGCAGCCACACACATTTCTTACAACACTGTCCTGCTCCATTCTTGTCGATTCTTGCTCCCTGTCACCCAGGGTCTGGGTGACCAGGGATGCCGGCCTCCAGGGGGGGATTTGGGGATCCCCTGGAATTATAGCTCAGCTTTAGACTACAGAGATCAGTTCCCCTGGAGAAAATGGATGCTTTGGAGGGTAGACCCTGTGGCACTGTACCCCACTGAGGTCCCTGTTGTCTCCAGGCTTCATCCCCAAATCTCCTGGAGTTTCTTAACCTGAATCTGGCAACCCTACCCCAATCCCCCACAAATAGCCAGGGGGGTCTGGCAACCGTATGGGTGACATATTCTTAGCTTGTATGTAGGTAATGTCACAAGACCATCATCTCTGAAGCATTAGCGCTCATTCCACGCATTCCCTAATGGTCTCCTTCCTGACACCATCTTCTCACTTTAAGGACAAAAGTACTCACGCAACATATTTGATGGCCTTGAAGGTGTTTGTAATACTTTTCTTGTGTGCCACGTTGGCCAACAATCTTTCAGGATTGGGATCGTTGGTATAATTATTAAAATCAAACTCAATACTGATGTCAAATGAAAACTGCACAGCAGCAAACTGGGGAGTGGGTGGGTTTGGAAGGGAAAACAGGAACAGTGTTAGACAACATCATACAACGCCACCTACTGTTCAGGCTCAGAGATAAAAGGGCTAACACATCGCAATGGTGGCTTCCGCCCTCAGTATGGAATTGGGTGTGTCTAGTGTGGAAGCAACCAGTGACCAAAGTCCTCGAAAGAAGAAGAAGAAGAAGAAGAAGAAGAAGAAGAAGAAGAAGAAGAAGAAGAAGAAGAAGAAGAAGAAGAAGAAGAAGAAGAAGAAGAAGAAGAAGAAGAAGAGATTGGATTTATACCCCGCCCTTCACTTGGAGTCTCAGAGTGGCTTACAAACTCCTTTCCCTTCCCCTCCCCACACCCTGTGAGGTGGGTGGGGCTGAGAGAGCTCTGACACAAACTGCTCTTTTTCAAGGACAGCTGTGCCAGAGCTTGTGACTGACCCAAGGTCACATCAGCAGGTGCAAGTGGAGGAGTGGGGAATCAAACCTGGTTCTCCCAAATTAGAGTCCGCACACTTAACCACTACACCAAACTGGCTCACAGTTGAGCTTTGAGGAAGACTTAGAGCCAAGTACAGGTTCCATAGACTCATAACAATATATTCCTTCCCGCACTGTACCAATTTCCACTGCATGGTGTAACCATGTTTTTGAACGTTCTCATACACTAAAAATTCTCTGCATTTAGATAACTAACCTATCAGAAACTATACTTAAGCTTGCCTCCTGATGGGTATGCACGTTTTCTACATGCAAGGGGTTTTTTTTAATTTAACAAGGAAGAACATTTAGAAGGGAGAAACCCTCCACCACCACCTGCAGTCTGAAATGGTACAGCCCTACAAGATTTCTACCGTGCCGTTTTGCTCACCAGGTTGGACTGTATGGGTTGCATTCACTGGCTGAGCTGTGACAAGCTGCCAGAATAACCCAGCACTTTCCTGGGGAGAAAAAGCTGTTTGCCCTACAACTTCTTACTGTGAATAGCCGGAGGGGGGGGGGGGGAAAACAGACATGTATTTCTGATGCACTGTTGCAGCAGTTCCTGCAAGACCAGCAGAGACGGTGCATATGCACCCATCAGGAAAGAATTATGCACCCGGACTATCTAGCTGCCTTAATGACACGTTCATCATGCATACTGCCAGAAAAATTGCCCCTTAGGAAAACAGTTGGACGTGTGGATGTGACCCCACTTTATTTGGTCTTTAAAAGCCTTGGGAAATGCAAGCGTGACTAACCTACTTCACAGGGCTGTTGCGAGGATAAAATGGAGGGGAGGAGAACGATGTCGGCCGCTTTGGGTCCCCGTCGGGAAGAAGGCTGGGAACAAATGAACGGATCAAATAAATAAATGGCTAGCCTGTTGTACCTTGATGGTGCTGTTGCGTAGTTTCGTCATCACATCAATCATGAAGTCCTTCATTTTGTCGAACTCCTTGCTGTTCAGGCTTTCTGATCCATCAAAGAGGAACACCAGGTCCACATCCCCTTTCAGGCACTCTGCGGGACACAGAGAAAGGTTTGATAGCGTCAGGGTTGGCACGGCAGACACTGTCAAGGATTGCCGAATATTCCACAAAGCCAGAATATCACTGTTTAAAAAGCCCTTTTGGGTGTCATTTGATAGCAAGGACAGGGATGAGGGCTACTTGTCAGGGATGCTCTAGGCTGATCCTGCATTTAGGGCCGGCTCGCGAACTAGGCGAACTAGGCGTTCACCTAGAGCGCGCCGGCCCTTAGGGGCGCCAAACTGCCCCCACCAAAAGCCCCCCCACCATTGCATTTCTGTGGCTGGGTGACCCCCGCCGCTGCCACCCGCTGCCTCTTTGGCCGGCTAACTTCTCCCTGCCTGTCCCCTCGGCTTCCCAGTGGAGTGTGAGCACTTCTCCTCCTCGCGGCCGGGGACTGGCGGCTGCAGCAGCAGTAGCAGCAGGGCCAGGGGAGCGAGCGGGTGGCTGCCCCCGCCTCTTTGGCCAGCTCACTTCTCAGGAGGAGGAGCAGCAGCGGGAGGGGGGGCAGAAGGGGAAATTGGTGGGCGCATGGGGGGGGCACCAGAAGGGATCCTCACCTAGGGTGCAAAATAAGCTGGGGCTGGCCCTGCCTGCATTAAGCAGGGGGTTGGAGTAGATGGCCCCTTCCAAGTCTATGATTCTATGATACTTGCCCTGCTCCCAACCTGCAACAGTCAGGGGTACGTGCAATAGCACTGCAAAGCTTCCCCAGTGGTCCACTTGCTTATTACCAGGCTCCATCCCCAAATCTCCAGGAGTTTCTCAGCCTGGATCTGGCAACCCTGCACTCCTCCCCTGCTTGTGGCCAGGGAAGACTTGGCAACCCTGCTTCTGGTGGGTCCTGGAGATCTCCAGACCACAGAGACCAGCTCCCCCCGGAGACAACGGATGCTTTGGAGGGTGGATTCCCTTCCCCCCAACCCCACTCTCCTCACGTTCCAGGAATCTCCCAATCCAGAGTTGGCAGACTACCCATCCTGGTCGTCTGAGAACTGGCAGTTGTTCATTGACTGAATCATACAGTGGAGAGAATAAAATGGTCTGACACACACAAAAAATGACTAGAGTCAGTTGTGCGCGTGTGGCAAGAAAGAGCTGCAAGATGACAAAAAAGGGAGAACAGAAGAGCAGGAGAGAGAGGAAGCTGAAGAGGGTTAGATGAAACAGTAGAGGAAGCTCGCAAGGAACAATGGGTTTTTGGATTTTTTCTGCAGACCCACAAAGTCCCCTGAGTCTGTAGAAAAACCTGTTGGGAGAGAGTGTGCCCTCTGTTTGCGGAAATAAGTATCCACACGCAGAAGGGACTGTTAAGAATTAGATAGTGGCCCAATCTGCATCTAGCGTTTGCTCTGCTATTTTACCAAACCCACACTGGAACAGAAAAAGATGTGGCTCAAAACCACATTCAGATACCCCAGGCCAACGCCACACTGACTGCAGAGTCACCCCTGAATGGCCATAAAATGGCCATAAATCTATGCAGACGGCTAGCATAAAACTGAGAGATCAAACGAAGTGAAAGCCGGCATGCAGTCTGGACACTGCCATAAAATCCGACAATCAATCAAAGTGAAAGTGGCCTGCAATGCAGAGGGGGGGTTCTGTTCCAGAGTGGGTTTGGTATAACAGTGGAGCAAATGCTAGATGCAGATTGGGCCATATACTGTACACAGTCATTCTTGAAGATCTCTAGGCCCCACCTGAAGGTTGGTAACCCTAGGGTACAGTTCCGTCCCCCATCTGTGCATTGTGTATACAGATAACATGCACAATCCTACACCAGCTATTCGATGGGAACATGAATGTTTAGAAACAAGATAAATTTCCTAACAATTCACACCCAAATATTTTTAACTGTTCAGTTCAGCTGGTCTTTGCAAGATTCTTTGCACAAAGCTTTCCTAAAAAAGAGCATTAAAATCTGGAAGTTCCTTATTTTGAGGAGAAAGGAAGCAAAGGCTAGTATCTGGAGAAAACTCCCCCACCCCAACAACAACAAGGGGATTATAAAACTGACCTAATTTACAAAACTCTTGTGAAGATTACTCAGATTATGTTTTTGAAGAGTTTTGCTCAATCTATGCCAAATGTGAGGGGAGTTTTATTTTATTTTATTTATGGTTTCGACTTGTATCCCGCTCGAACCCCCAGGGTCTCTGAGCGGCTTACACAATTTCATTTATCCCTATCTATGGCCACATCGTCAGGGGTGGGGACTGCCCTACCGGCACCCAATGGTGGGACTCGCTGTTCATCGGCTTTTTTTTGGCTTCGGCTCGGCCCGGCTTTGGCTCGGCTCTTCCTCTTCCGGTGGCCTTCGGAGTCGGCTGTTGTTTCCGGCGGGCCCATCTGGCGCATGGTTCGCATCAGCCCGGCTCCGGCTATGTCCTTTAGGCTCCACTGCGCCTGCGCTTCTACGTTCCTGCGTCTTCTGGCTCCGGCTCCGCCGTCATCCGAACCGCCGCTGGTGTTGCGCTTCCTTGCCATCACTGCTCGCCACTTCACTCATCACCTGCCACCGCTCGTCGCCTCGCCGCTGTCACCCGTTGTTCCGTCGCTGCCGATGCCCCCACCAAGCCTCACAACGAAGGGGGGGTGCCCCCTGCCACCTAGGGCAGGTACCCATTTATCTACTCGCTTGCTGTTATTTTTGCTTTCGAACCGCTGGGTGGGCGGGAGCTGGGACTAGGGCCGGGAGCTCACTCCGGCCGCGGTGGGTCTCGAACAGCCATCATAGCTGTTCTTCTTTGTTATTACGGCAGGCATTTACTGCCTGCATCACCGCTCCCTATAGTGGGGGAGTGGGGTAAACAGGACGTGTGCTGTTCTCCCCCTCCCGCCCCCACCTGTTCCTACTTTGCAGAGGAACCTCAGAGTTCCCTAGCTTCCCCACCCCTGCTATTTTATATGTGGCTTTCTAGCCACATCCATTTCCTGCCCCTCTTGCTTTGCTTATGAATAGGCCTTTACTCATGAAGTAACTGTTCTTGGGAGCGGTTCTGTTTTTTCTTGGGCCTACTTTACACATGCCGCAAACGGCATGGTAGATGGAGGTCCAATTGACAAGCCACTTCAGATGATGGTGTGAGCCTCCAAAGCGGGGGTTTCCCTGCCCCCCGCCCCCACTTGGCAGCCCTAAGGTGGGACCTGGGGATCCCCCTGGAAGTACAGCTCATCTCCAAAGTAGAGATCCGTTCCCCTGGAGAAAATGGATGCTTTGGAGGGTGGGCTCTATGGCACTGCACCCCACTGAAGTCCCCTCCCCTCCCCAGATTCCATCCCCAAATCTCTAGGAGTTTCCCAACCTGGATCCAGCAACCCTACTACTCCATCCCCCGCCAGTGGCGAGTCTAGGGGGCGTACCATTTTAGAATGTTCCTCTGTGTAAATACACCCTGATGGTAAAAATAATTATTTTATTTTATTTATTTAATTAATTGATTTATACCCCGCCCTCCCCGCCAACATGAATATGTTAAAACTTTCTTTGCAGTGCACTCGATATGATGAGCTTTATCCACAGAAGGGATGTTGCAAAACAGGATCACGTATGTATACACTTTGGGGAGACAGGGCTGCCAGCTCTGAACTAGGAAATTCCTGGAGATTGTGGGGGGCAGAGCCCGAGGAAGGTGTAGTTTGGGAAGGGGAGGGACTTCAGTGGGGTATAATGTCCATAAAGTCCACCCTTCTCAAGCGGCCGTTTTCTCCAGGTGAACTCCTCCCCGTTGCCTTGAGATCAGTTATATCCTAGGAGATCTTCGGCCACCAGCTGGAGGTTGGCACTCGTAGATACACAGTCCTTCCTACACCTTCCAGCTCTACAACATAGCATCTCAGGGCCAAAGTGCACATTTGGGTTTTTAATGAATTCAGTCCGGGTTGCCTGGAAACAGTTCCAGGGGAGCCCTCCTGATTTTGCTGTTCCACCTGCACAGAATACTCCGACCGAAGCAGCAACACTGGGGAAATAATCCCCTTCCCACACAGCCCTGTTTCCAAATACCTCGGCGGAAGGCAGAGTTCCAAGCCTGTTTGGGATCTTCTTAATTCTTTTTTAAAGCCACTCCCCTCAATGGCTGTGTGCATGGAGGATACAGTTGCCAACCTGCAGGTGGGGCCTGAGGATCTCCTCATGTTACAACTGAGGACTGATCTCCAGACATCAAAGATCAGCTCCCCTGGAGAAATTGGCTGCTTTTGGAGGGGGGGTGGACTCTGTGGTATTTATTTTAGGGGCACCAAACTGCACCCGGCCCCGTACTTTGGGAGTTTCTTGATTATTTGTGTTTTTCATTCTTCCTAAAATTCATTTATTTTTGAAAATTGGTGGGTGCATGGGGGTGGCGGCGCCAGAAGGGATCCTCGCCTAGGGTGCAAAATAAGCTGGGGCCAGCCCTGCTCAGGGCCAAAGTGCACATTTGGGAAGTCAGTCCGGGTTGCCTGGAAACAGTTCCGGGGAAGCCCTCCTGATTTTGCTGTTCCACGTGCACAGAATACTTCAACTGAAGCAGCAGCACTGGGGAAATAATCCCCTTTCCACACAGCCCTGTTTCCACACGGGAAAATACCTCGGGGGAAGGCAGAGTTCCAAGCCTGTTTGGGATCTTCTTCATTCTTTTTTAACACCACCAAAAAAGCCCTGGCCCTGGTTGCAGCCAGCCTGACCCTGCTGATGTCCCTCCTCTCCTCAAACCCTGTCTTCCCCAGGCTCCAACCCCAAATCTCCAGAAATATCCTAATCCAGAGTGCAGGGAACCTGGATTCGACTTGTTTAAAACGTGAACATGTAGTTTGGACCTCATTGCTGCCACACACATAGACCAAACCGCAGGGGCAAGGAGGGACCCGTTTAGCTTCCTGCCACATACTTGGATGGGCCAGTGACTTCCTCTGTAGTTATCCCTCCCCACCCCACTGCAGACCCACTCCTGCATTTGAGGGCTTTGGCAAGGTAGTGGTTCCCCGGGAAACTGCACATAAAATATTATGGTACTTATGCATCCTGACTTACAAAGTATCTCTCTTCATTGATATCTGTCAGTTTGGATGACATTGACAACTGTCCTGGTCTGATACAAATAAATAAGCATACCACCCAAGTTTTATCCTCGGGTCTGGCAGGGATTGGGTTTCTAAAGGGTTAAACTTTGCGTGCCAAGAGATTAGAATAAAATTGCCTGAAAGTGATGGAACTTCTTCTCACTTTGGTATCCTGTAGTTATGTTCTTGGGTTCGTGTAGTTTGGCATCAAACAGATAGCAGATCCCGCTCACAAAGAGATTTTTGTCACAGTGCTGTGCGACTCCTGGCCCACATGCCTGTAGAAGAAGAGGGGAAAAGTTAATATATATTGTATTTTAATAAGGGGGAACAGGTACCATTAACATTTGATGCTGCTGTCAAATGAAAATTGCACTGGCGGTTTAAAAGAGAACATGGAAGCAGTGTTAAAGGGAGAGACTGTTGCCAGGCATGCTGGATATCAGCACATCTGCTGAACTATATGCCAATCTACTTTGTCTGAAAGTTACGTTTGGGTTTTATGGTACCTTCTGCATCGGTTTATGGCCATTCAGGGGTGGACAGTCTTTTTGCCTCAGTCAGCATCACATTCAAATCAGGCCTTAGTGAGGTCCTAGAAGGTTCCATTGTTTTACCAAACCCACCTTGGAACAGAAATTCTCCTTTGCATTGCATGCTGCTTTCACTTTCTTTGATCATCGGATTTTATGGTACCCTCCACACTGCATGCCGCTTTCGCCTCCTTTGTTCATTGGGTTTTATGGTACCTTCTGCATCGGTTTATGGCCATTCAGGGGTGGCTTTGTAGTCAGTACGGTGTTGCCCCGAGGTATTTGAATGTGGTTTTGAGCCGCACTTTTTCCTCCCAGTTGAGAAAACGTGGAGCGAATGCTAGATGCTGAATTGCCCTCCGCCAGAATAATTCTTTCTTACCATCTTGCCGCTGTCTGCAAATGCTAGGGAAGCTTTTCCACAGAGTTTCTTGGTAGTCAGTCCAAGCCTATGATTGGTCAGTCTTGCAAAGGATTTTGCACTCACTCACTATTTAGCTCTGCACAGGCAGCAGCCGTGTTTAAAGGAGGTGTCATACAAATGCAAAGTGCCACAGGACAGTCTTTTTGCCTCAGTCAGCATCACATTCAAATCAGGCCTTAGTGAGATCCTAGAAGGTACAGTGGTTGTTCTCTTCCCTTTATTGCCTGATTCCATGACTGCCTTTCTCATACCCAATGTGTTTTAGTGATGGAGTGTGGGTAGGAAAGCGATAAAAGTAGCACACACCTTAGATAGCACACACACACACACACACCCCTCCGTAAACTGCAGAGATATAAGGAGGTGTGAGAAACAAGAACTGGGTTGTGGGGACTATTGCAAAACATGGGACTGTGGTCTGGCAGCTGGTTCGGTTGATACGGCTGACAAAGAACATAAGTGAAATAGCACATTAAATGGCTGCTCAAATGATCATGCAACCAACTGTCAGCAAGCTGCCATTGTGTTCTGTGTTACTTCTATGACTGTACAGTTTATTCCTCCCCCCCTCTGCCTGCTAGCCTGTATTTTATTCTGCTGTAATGCCTAAGCCAAACATCTGGAGGACGTGGTGTAGGAGGTGAGCTTGAATGCTAGCTTGTTGCTTTTAGATCCTGGGAACTGCACCTGTATTATGTCTGGAGATAGCAGTGTTCCCAGGGAATGAGCGCGCAACCGTTTCCTTTCACCCGCCAGCGGGAAAGTGACCCATTGGTTATGTACCTGGTTCAAATCCCTTTATTATGCTTGCCCTAGCTGTTTGTACCCATTCCTAACAAAGAACTTGTTTGAGTATCTTTCCAAAGCTTTGAAATAAATTTTGCTTTTCTGAAACGTGGATTTATTCTCGATGCTTGGGGATCCAACACCAACCCTGTTAAATAGGACTTCAATAAGGACTAAACTACACATTACATTTTTTTGGCAAGTTGGGTTACGGACCCTGAGACTCAACACGCTTTCCCTGATTTCCCTGCAGTCACACAGCAGCTACGGGGGAAAGTATTTTTAAAAAATCCATAGGAGTCCAGTTCTTCTCGGAACTCCATTGTGAGGGAAGGAAAGGCTCCTGCCTTCCCCTCCACTGCATTTTCCCCAGTCAAAAGGGCCCCAGCAGGAAGTTATCTGCCTAATTTTGGAGCTGTAGGGACTTGGAATACTCTGAGTGGGGCTCCAAGGTAATGCAGATTGTTAGAAGTGAAAGACTTTGCGCCGCCTCTTAGCCTCATCAGACTTCAGAGGGGACCTATAGAGAGCCGGAGAGATAGATAGGTCAGGGCCATGTCATTGTATCCTTCCTTTCTACTGTGTTGTGTCTGCCGACCACCACCAGGGGTCTGTGGCCTCAGTTCTTAGCTTGGTTCCAAACACAATAGGGACCAAGGATCCTAGACCACCCTGAGTCCTCCAATATAATTTAAATACGGAATCGATCCTGTATCTCTTTGTTTTGTAGTTGAATAATAATCCTTCGGGTATTAACCATTGATATTGAATTTTATTTTCCTGTAATAGCTTCGTCAAAATACCATAAATCTGTCGTTTCTCCCTTACCCGCCACGGGGTGTCCTTTAGTATCTTGACTTCTTGCCCTGCTATTTCCAGTTTATTTGTGTTGGCTGCGTGAAGTATTTGGTCTCTTCTTTGTTTTTTATTAAATTTAATGTGGACCTCTCTAGGGAGTTTGTGTTTTCTAGCGTAATTTGAATTTCTTCTGAATACCTCTTGGATATCTGCTGCTAGTTCTTTTTCCTCTCCTGTGTTGAATTGTTTCGCTATATTCTCTATCATTTCTTCTCTTAAGTTTTTGTTTATTTGTTCTGTAACATTTTGGAACCGTAAGGTAACACTTGCTTTTTCCATCTCTAAGATAATTAGAGATTCTTCCATTTTTTCTGTCTTTGTTCTTAATTCTTGTATTTCTGAATCTAGCTCTTCTACTTTTCCTTCTAACTCATTTGAATTTTGAACAATTTTTGCTATTTCTGCTTTTATCTCATCTTTGTCATTTTTCATCTGTGTTGAGATTTCTTCCATTTTCACATGTATAGGATCTATTTCCTTTTTAATCAGCTCCACTGTGTGTTGTGAGGATTGCAACAGACAATTTTGCATCATTGTCTGTAGCTCCTGCAGTGAAAATTGTGGTGTGTTTGTTTTAAGTTGGCTTAGCCCAGCGCCTTGCCCTGGAGGTGTATTTATTTTTTTTAATGAGCCTGAGGCCATTTTGAGGTAATGGTACGTTTGTTTTATGTATTTTCTATGTATTGAATGTATCCGTTGAATTGTGTTTTATTATATTATATTTTTATATACTTTTTGGTGATCTTGCCTTAAGTTGCACTGTCTCTTTAAATTCTCTTCACTTGTTTATAATTCTCTTGGGGGTTAGCTCTCTGATGGAATAATAATACTAGATTTCTTTTCTGTTTTTTTTTTCTTTCTCTCTTATTTGACCCTGACTCCTGTCTTTGTGTATCTGTTTTAACGTTTGCTACCGTCCTTAACTAGGTCTCTATGCCCCCCTTTGTTTTAGTCAAGTTTTAATTAAGTTTTAATTAAGTCTTTTCTTGTGGGCTTGGACGCACATCAGCACATCAGCAAAGTCTCTGTGCCTCAACCTTAGCCCTCTCCTTGCTCTTTAACGTTTGCTACCGTCCTTAACTAGGTCTCTATGCCCCCCTTTGTTTTAGTCAAGTTTTAATTAAGTTTTAATTAAGTCTTTTCTTGTGGGCTTGGACGCACATCAGCACATCAGCAAAGTCTCTGTGCCTCAACCTTAGCCCTCTCCTTGCTCTCTTTGGCTTCAGTCAAATCTGGCTCAGCTCGGCTCCTCGGCTCCTCTCGTGACACTCGGCTCCTCTCGTGACGCTCGGCTCCTCGCTCGCTCGCTTCGCACGGCCCGCCTTGACTCCTCCCCGCTCCGACGCTCCGGCTGCCTCTCCGAACGCCCGCCTGGATTCGTCCGACGTCCCTCTGTTTTGGTCGCCCCTCCCCGACTCTGCGTTGAGCCCGTCTCCTCCGGTTTGCGCCAGCGTCAGCTACCGCCCGATTTCGCTCCGGGTGCACTCGCCTCTCTCCCCAGGTGCCGCCTCTCTCCCAGGTGCCGTTAATTTTCCTTGGAGTCGGGTAAATAAAAAAAGGTTGTCACGTGTGTTTTTTTAAAGTTTTTGTTAGGTTCTTTTCCCTTAAATTAATATATTGTCTTAAGTTCTTTTGGTGTCATACCCCGATTACTTGTTATTTAGCCTTTGTCTAGAAGGAAAAAAGGGGCGTTTTATAACCTGACAAAGAGAAACCCCCCCCCAGTTAATTTGCCCTTAATTAGCCCTTAAATTAGAATTTGTTGAAGAATTAAATTATAGAAACTTAGCTTCGTGTGTAGTGCTAAAATCCATTGTCTCCGCTTTGGCAGCTTGTTGTTTTTGCTCCCATCCGTCCGTTGTACTCGTCTTGTGCTCTGCAAGCGAAAATAGTCTCTTGCTGGCTTCTCAAACCTTCCTGCCTCGAGACAAAACCAATGCTTATCCAGAAAGAAAGCCACTCTATCTGGTATGGTTCAAGTCTCTTGCTGAATATCCCTTTACAGGAATATATTTGGGAGGTAAAAACCCCTGGGAGGTTTGAGTTTAGGCAGTTTGGTGTGGCATGGCCGCCGGTGCTCATCGAGGGCAGACGTGTGGGGAACTCGCTCCACGCTCTGGGAACCACTGATGTTCCCTCTTCCAGGGCCAGGTTAAGATGGACAATAGTGATGGTAGTGGCGGCTCCTACTCATACGCCTGGTGGAAGAGCTCCGTCTTACAGGCCCTGCGGAACTGTACAAGGTCCCGCAGGGCCTGGATCTCCACCGGGAGCTCATTCCACCAGGTAGGAGCCGCCACCGAAAAAGCCCTGACCCAGGTCACAGCCAGCCTGGCCTCTCTGGGACCTGGCATTGCCAGGAGATGTTGCGTCCCAGACCGAAGTGCTCGCGGGGGAACATATGAGGGAAGGCGATCCCTTAGGTAAGCTGGACCCAGACCATGTAGGGCATACTGCTCTGCTGCTATCCCTTTGCAGTGCAAACTGCTACTCTCAGGGAATCGTCCTTCCTCCCAGCTACCACCTTCTCTGTCTTTTCTCCATCTTGCTATCACAAGAGCAGGACACGTTGCCTGGTTAGTTAGATCAGAAACCTATCTGTACTCTGTCCTCCCTAGAATGGAGTGCCTTGCAATGAAGGACTCATTAGTTTGCTAAGATAAAAAGGTTCCATGTGAACATGGACGCTTAGGCTCTGGAAAACATCACCTTGGAAAGGAAGACGGGAACCTCTCCTCCCTTCACATCACACTTCCAAGCAGAGTTGTGCTCCTGTGGGCTGTAAAATGCCTTTGCTCACAGTTGCTGTGTGACTTCAGTGAAAGCATGTTTGTTTGTTGATTTATAAATTCGATTTCTAAGCCACCCTCCCTCATACTTGGGGCTCAGGGTGGTGCACAACATTAAAAAATATATAATCACAAGCACATTAAGAACAAAAACAATAAAACAGGCACAATAACCATTCCAGATGGTGTCCAAAACCCAGGTTTATCCTTACCCCAAGAGGGAGAGAAAGAAAGGAAGGCCAGGCAAATGAAGACCATTGCTGTCCTCAACAATAGGCCTGGTGGAACATCTCTGCCATGCAGGCCCTGCGGAACTGCATTAGGTCTTGCAGGGCACAGCCATCCTTTGGTGGAGGAGAAGGAGAAGAGAAGACGACGATGATGCCAGGACCAAAAAAGCACTGGCTCTGATGAAGGACAGCAGGATATTTTTGGGTCCACGGTGCCCTAACATATGTTGGGTCCAGGGTACCCTAACATGATTTGATAAAAAAAAGTAACATACAGTTTAGCCCTAAGTGAGCATTCTACAGTTGAAAAACAGGTAAAAATATGTTGATTTCCCAGTGGGAAAGGACCCAATTATTGAGGGGGATTCTTTGTTTTTAGTGAGAGTGTGTCTTTAAATGTTTGGTTGGAGTGCAGTGATAGCAGAGTAGAATGATTGAGAGAAATTAGTGTGATCATGTGATTGGTGGATGGCAGAGTGTGGGAGGGGGTTGCTTGGAATGAGTGTGTGTGTGTCTTGAAGCAGTTCAGTTGGAGTTTGAATGAGAGTCTGTCAGTTAGGGAGTCTGTCAGAAAAAGAGGACAGAGTGCTGTGTGAAAACTTGACATGTTCAGAAAATATGTTGCTGAAAGTTTAAATGTTGAAGAGTTGCAAGAAGGATCTGAGACATCCTGAAGTATAAAAGAAAACCAAGCACACAATAAAGAGCTTAGCCAGAGTGAGGATCTATTGAAAAGGAGATTCTTAATAGAGAAGGATCTTGTGACCAAAGACTGTGTGTGTGATACCCTGACAGCTAATTTTTCCCGTTTCTCTTCCCCTAAACAGTTATAGTTAACAAACAACTTATTTATGTTTAAATTTTTATTCAATACACATTTTGTTTGAGTTCCAGAATTCAGTTCATTCTTCCCTCAGGATCACAGAGACCCTTGAAAAGCCCAGACTCGAGGTCACTTTACCAACAGCTAATGAGAAAAGATTTGGAATTTGTTTAAATTCCTGGTGGCAGTCAAATCTACCCTGTTTATGAACACACAGTTTAAACTTAAAGAGAAAACCAGTCCTCCCTAATAAGAGGACACCACAGAAGGCAATCCAAGCACTGGAAAGAGGCAAATGCTTTGCTTGGAGGCAGGCAGGCAGAGCTGCAGAGGGGCAAGGGGAAGACTTTGCCTCTCTCCCTTGTGATAGGCAGCTTTTGGCTTTGCAGACGGGGGAAAGAGAGGCAGAGATTAAAGCTTCACACACACACACACACACACACCAAGCACTAAATGCACACACCAAACCAGACAAGATGCAGACAAATGATTGATTTCGGAAGTACTATGTATGAGAAAGCCACTGCTTCAGGATCTGAGATCGGTCTTTAATCACACGCCCTTAGTTGCCATTAGCCCAATTAGAGGAAATGAGTCAGAAATCTTTATGTTCCTGTTTAAAAATAAAGTGTGTGTGTGTGTTGCTGTTGTTGTTGTATCTATTTTAAAGCAAAATTGGAACATGCAGACACAGTACCTGCCCGGTACCATACTTTAATCTGGAACCTGAAGCATTTTTGTCTCAGCCCAGTTCTGATACTGTAAATCAGTTTGGAGTCTGAGCATGACTAGTTTTCACTCTCCTTGCCCACACATCCCACCTTTTTTAAAAAACAGACCCCTTCTGCCACTTGACGATTCTGCAGAACTATGAAAAAAAACACAGACACACCAACTCACACCTCACTGAGCCCATTCCGCAAGTGGGAATGTTAGATGCATAGAAATAGGGACAGTTTCTTCCTGCCACAATGAAGGGAGGATCTCTCAGGTGGGGAGTGCAATCCCTGAGAATTTCATCTCTAGTGAGACGGAGGGAAAAAACAACCCAGGCAGGCAGAAATATGTTTCCTACGGAAACCGACTGATTAACTAATAGAATAATTAATCCAAATGCATGTTATCCCACAAAGAAACAAATAAAATTAGAGAAAACAGAGCCAGAATAAAATACCTGTGCACATCTCAAGCTTCACTGAAATCAGCAGGGGAAACATATTCTCAGCATGGAATTGTGGTAATGAGAAGAAAAGCTTTATCTATTACTCTCTCCTTACCATGTGTATGTTAAAAGGAACATAGCCTCAGTCCAATATATGCTGCACACTGTGGTACTTACAATCATCTTAGATCTCTGAGAGTCGCTCGCCAGTGTCATGCCCAGGTGGGATACTCCAGCGCCTCCTGGGAAGAAACATGAGGCCAGATGGATTAATGCTGAAACAGACATGTACCTAAGCTTCCCCACCCTGCTCCCCCATCTGGGGCCGGGGCTCAGTGGTGGAGCACCTGCTTGGCATGCAGAAGGTCCCTGGTTCAATCTCCAGTTAAAAGCACCAGGCAAGCAGGTGGTGAGAAAGACCACCCGAGACACTGCAGAGCTGCTGCCAGTCTGTGTAGAGAAGACTTTTAATGGGAAAAGGGTCTCTGATTACGTATAATGTAGATTCATGAGTTCAGATTTGGCACCAATATTCAGCAAAGCAGAGCATTAGCCCAAGAGATGCCCCACTGAGGTGAAATCACTACCATTCTTACTTTGAGCACTGTCAGGGAACGTTAGAGGGAGTGTGTGATTTCCTGTCTTGAAGGAGCTTGAACCGGGCCTTAGCTGTTTCATAGTTAAGAACTATCTTACAAAAAGGCAGGGCTATTTTTGGGCAGGAACGCACAGGAACGGAGTTCCGGCTGGCTTCAGAGTTGTCCACGCCCACTACAGCCAAAACCTCTGCGTGCCTGGCTACAGAGGGAAGGCTTGGAGAGCAACCCCCCCTCAGTGACTCCGAGGCGGGCAGGCCAGGGGGGGCCTGGAAGGATCGGGAGGCATTTAAATGTCTCCGCGTGCCTTCCCCGGGCTGTCCAAGGGCCGGTTTGCCCAGGGCGCCCGAGAAAGACAAGGGAAGGCATGGGGTGTGGCCTAATATGCTAATGAGCTGTTGTCATGGGTGTGGCCTAATAGGCTAATGAGTGTCTGCTGTTGGGTGTGGCCTATTATGCTAATGAGTTCCTGCTGGGCTTTTTCTACAAAAAAAGCCCTGCAAGAAGATCTGTATTTTTCAGAGACACAACAGCACCAAAATATACGGTGTCTGTCTGAGGACAAGGTTCCCATAACATCAGACTGCTCCAAGAACTGATGGAGATCAAAGTCCTCTTACTCTTGGGAGGAGTGGACCCTCAGGCCCACCGTGTTATCAGAACATCCCAATCTGAACTCTACCCAAATTAAAAGCAAGTTATGAAATCTTTCTTCTAAGCGTGATTGGTGAACCACCGCTGCTTGGAGCAGGAGAAATGGCACAAGAAAAAGTACACACTTCTCTCCAGTGAATGGGCATAAATAGGGAGATAGTCTAGGGCAGAAGTTGTCTACACTGTCCTTTGTAGATACCACAAAGGGGTCACTTCAAACTCATCCAGTTTCTGCGTCACCTAGGGATGCCAGCCTCCAGGTGGGACCTGGGGATCCCCTGGAATTACAGCTCATCTCCAGACTGGAGAAAATGGCTTATTTGGAGGGTAGGCTCTAGGGCATCATACCCCATTGAGGTCCTTGTCCTCCCCAGGCTCCATCCCCAAATCTCCAAGAGTTTCCCAACCTGGATCTGGCATCACCACCACCCCATCCCATGCCAGTGGCCAGGGGGGACCTGGCAACTATATGTTTAGTTGTCCAATGCCTGGGGGGGAAAGTCCTGTCCCTTTAATAAAGGCTCTATAGGATTCTGTTGGTCGGGGGGGGGGGAAGTCCTGTCCCTTTAATAAAGGCTCAATAGGATTCTGTTGGTCAGAACATAAGAACATAAGAGATACCAATGTTGGATCAGGCCAAAGGCCCATCCAGTCCAACACTCTGTCACACAGTGGCCAAAAATACCAGGTGCCATCAGGAGGTCCACCAGTCAGGCTGTTGTTTACCTCCATGACATGAAAAGCTTCAGTTGCCCATCCCCACACATTAAACCTCTGTTAAAAGGCCAGGACATTTTCCTCCAGGTCTGTTGGCCATCCTCAGCACTGCCGCTAAAAGCCCTTGGAAACAGAATTGGTTTGCGTTGTCTTCCTGAAAGCAGGCAAAGATGTTCTTCTCTGAAGCTTCTTCAGCAAACCATTCCACAGGATCAGCCCAACAACGGACTGAACAGAGGTCTAGAGGGATGGGCACTGTTGCATAGCAGCTGGCCAGAGAAGCACCAGTGGTGCATGAGTTCATAACTTATTGAAGGGCGTGGGGCGCTCTCTCCATTAGAGTGCCAGAGCCCTTTCCAATTGTGAAAGATCACTCATGCCCTTTTATTCAAGGCCGGATACTCACCCTCGAGTGGAATATCCTGGCACTCTTCGTTTTGCATTTTGCACTGGTACACGTGGCCTGTGGTGTTCTGCTCACCGGGGGCTCCTATTATGATCCTGAACATAAGAACATAAGAACATAAGAGATGCCAATGTTGGATCAGGCCAAAGGCCCATCCAGTCCAACACTCTGTGTCACACAGTGGCCAGAAATACCAGTGCCATCAGGAGGTCCACCAGTGGGGCCAGGACATTAGAAGCCCTCCCACTGTTGACCCCCTCCCCAAGCACCAAGATGACAGAGCATCACTTGCCCCAGAGCCCCTAGCTATACCTTGTGGCTAATAGCCACTGATGGACCTCTGCTCCATATAGCCACTGATGGACCTCTGCTCCATAGGGAGAAAAGAAATAAAAGAACAGAGGGAACATACGGGGAAGTGCTTCCATTAGTAAACTGACCTCTTTCCAAAGCACCCTCAAGTCTTATTTTCAAGCCCCAGGGCTAGGGTTGCCCCCCTTTCATGGGAAAAATCTCCTGCGCCTTAAAAGATAAGCATGTCAGGAGGGACGAGGGTTGCCAGCTTTCAGGTAGGTCAAGTAACGAATAAATATACACTGCAAGGAACTTTTGTAAATTAACGTGTTCCGTTTATAACAATCATTCTCCAAAGTGCACTGTGTGCTATTATAACATCCTTGTCAGGTACATATATTCAGTACATTCAGTATAACCGTAACATTCAGTTCATTCAATTTCACAACCGCCAGCCAATTTTGCATCAGTATTTTAAAAGTCAAGCCGGATGCAAAATTGACTGGTAGTTGTGAAATTGTATGAACTGAATGATATATGTACCTGACGACAAGGATGTTATAATAGCACACAATGCACTTTAGAGAACGATGGTTACGAACGGAACACGTTAATTTACAAAAGTTTCTTGCAGTGTATATTTATTCGTTACTTGACTCTCCTGACAGTGCAGCTCAGGTTGCTACAGCCTTCAGGTGGGGGGGCCTGGAGATCTCTCAGAATTACAGCTGATCTCTAGATGAAAGAGATCAGTTCCCCTTGGAGAAAATGGCTGCTTTGTAAGGTTGCCAGGTCTGGATTGGAAAATACCTGGAGACTTTGGGGGTGGAGCAGGGGTCGTTTCGTAGAAAAAGAGCTAGGGGAACTCATTAGCATAACTCATTAGCATATGCCACACCCCCTGACATCACCGGAAGTGTGTTATAAGGCCACACCTCCTGACATCACCGGAAATGTGTCATAAGGCCACACACCCCGCCCCCAACGGTCCCGGCCGCCGGTGCCGGCCTTGCAGCTCCACTGCCGAGCCCCATGAGGGGCCCGGCGGTGAACCTGAAAGGCCAGCGGGAGTGCAAGGAAGCCCCGCGAAGGCCCTCCCTGGCCCCAGGCAGGCAGGGGTGGGGAGAGGCAGGGAGGAAGCAACTTACCCTCCCTCTTCTCCTGCCTCCTCCTGGCTGAATGAGGGCCGGAAGCGGGGCGGCCGGAAGCAGGGGGCGGGGCTTCGTCATGTGCCCCGCCCCCCGCACCTCACCCGGGGGAACTGCGATCCCCCACGATCCCCCCTGAAATGACCTCTGGGGTGGAGCCAGGATAAGGGGGGGGTGGGGAG